AATGTTTGAACCATGTCGCACCCGATGTGCGCCCCACTATGGCCCGATTAGCTTATATCACAGAAATGTGCAAGGTCTCAATTTTGGAATTTTGTGTGCGCGACGTTCAAAGAATGTTTATTTTGGGAATATTTTTCGTAGTTCTCTCGAGCTGCGCCTGGAGCTCGGGAGAAATTTCGTGTCTGCCACAATGATGACAAAATCGGGCTGGCGCGAGCGGGAAAACGTTCCTAGACGGGCGGGGGTTACTTCTACTGACCATTCGTGGAACTTTTTTCCTACATTTTCTGACTAACCGTGGAACCCGACTGATGAAACATGTTGCGAACTCGCTAATTCTGATTGTTTATATTGCGTTACTGACCGTACATATTATCGAGGCCCCTAATACTGAGCGCCGATGTACTTTCCCATGAGAATTTGTATGCAATGAAGTCTGATCTGATCTAAGGATCAGAAACCTAAAAATTTTACCTGATGAGTCAGGCTTCTTTTTTTTTTTGTCTGACAAAACATGCCCTGTCTCAGGGCTCCCGTTATCAGACCAAATCGGTCTGATGGTCTGAAAATCAGACCGGGTTTTTATGTTTCATCTGATTTTTTGACGAGCCAAATATATTCGTATGATCGTTCAGACAAGTTATAAGAATTCGTCTGAAACATCAGACTAGGTGTACACTTTCATCTGATTTATCAGACCGGCCGTTTTTTTCCGTCTGATACCGACAAATCCGCCCTTCTAGCAACAGGGCCACTAGTCCACATGCCCACTAGGCCACTGCCAGCCACCCAGTCCCATGTGCACCGCAGCACGTGCATTCAATTCTACCCCGAGCGCGGCAGCGAAACAGTCCAGCGCACATAAATTTTCAGCTTGCTGACTCTAGCTGCTGCCACGCCACTATCTTGTTACGGGCACCGTCGCTGCCAGCCACGTTCCAAGCAAGCAGCGTTGGGCAGCAATGTGCCAGCGCATTTCCCGATGAAACCGCAAGCCACCCTCGTCGTCGTATTGAATCTGCAACCCCAAGCCGCTCTTCTTCGATCCGCCATGATGAACAATCAGCCCACAGAAGCCCCCAATCTCAGACCACCACGTCTCAGAGAACCACTCCCTGCAGCCATGAGTGCTCTCTCTGGTGTCCTCGTCCTCCCCTCGTCCTAGTGCTTCATTCTTGGCTGGCTCTCCCACCTAGTTCTTGCTCATATCGTGTGTCTCATCTTATGGCCTTAGAGGAGGTTAATGCTAACCCTCCTAAAGATGCCGCACCATCGACGGTTACGGGGCTAGACCTGCTTCGGCCCCGATCCGCGCCGCCTCCCCTTAGCACTGAGCCGCATCAGAGGCGTATGCCCGTCGAGCCTACTCTGCCTGTCAAACCCGCACCGCCTCCTTCCGCTACTCGACATACGACTAGTCGTCGAGAGGCTAGTCCTAGTACGAGTAACAAGCATGCGTTGAGTTCTCCACCCTCGGCTCGCTCTCCCGCCGCTAGTCCGCCACCCGCAGCATGTGCACGATCGCGTAGCCCGTCTCCTGCCGCCCGCTCGCCCGTGCTTAGTCCTCCCCCAACAGTGGCTCCTCTGAGCCCACTGCCTCCGTTGGACACGGAGCCATGGATCATCTTTGGTGCTGAAGGCTCCGAGCTCAACTCTGCTTCTAGGCCTTCCCGTCCGTCATCACCTACAAGGCAAACCGTTTCTGCGGTCCTTCCGCCACGCGTCTCTGGAGGGCCTGTCTTGCCCGCCCTCAAGTCTGACAAGGCGAAGTACATCCAGCGCAAACTCAGCTTCGGTCGGCATGCCTGCGCCTCGACTGCGGCTAATCCTATCCAGCTCGGCAGTAGCAGCGGCAATCCTGGTCCCAGCTCCCCGCCGTCCGACGACGACGGGCCATTCTTCCTGACGGTGGAGGAGCTCCAACTCAAAGCGAGGGAGCAGTGGTTACGCCACTTTCCATGGTTGGTGATTTCCGAGACTAAGGAGGGTCGCCCTTGCATGAAGTGCAGCGTCTGCATGGCGTTTGGCGACGACCCCGACTATCAGTACGGCCGCAACAGTGAGGGCGGCATCGACATTCAGAAGCAAACAATGCGTAAGCATCATCACAGTCTGAAGCATGAGGCTGCCGTGGCAAAGAAACTGCAGCGCGACGGGAAGATGAAGAAGCAGAAGTCGATCGTCGACTTCGAGAACGGTGACAATGAGGCTCGACGACTGAAGCGGCTCATGGCCATCGTGCTTTTTGTTTGCAAGTCGGATGCACCTATCGTTCTGTTCGTTTCCCTTGTCCAGTTCATGGCAGAACAGGGGACACCTGATCTGCCAATGAAGGAACGAGGAACCTACCAGAGCGAGTAAGTGTCCCACGTTTTTAAGGCGAAGCCCTCCTCATCCGAGTTCCTCATTTGTCGTTTATGATATTTGTTTGAACTTACTGTCTCTATTTGCGTTACTCCTTCCCTATGCCCTCCGGTGTTACCCGAATGGCAGGTATGGCTTCATCCAGCTCGTCGAGAACCTAGTGGCTTACCTGCGGGCGAAGCAGATGGTCCATATCAAGGCGAGCCCCTTTCTTGGGATCCAACTCGACGAAAGTACGGACCGGCGCCGAGGGAAGCACATAATCGTTTACCTTACCTTCCTGCGTCGTACGGAGGTCGCCACGGAGTTCTTCGCGCACCTCACGGTGGAGAAGTGCGATGCCGCCTCCCTGCAAGCCGTGCTTCTGACTCACCTGGAGTCATGTGGGGTCGACCTCAATAAGATCTGTGGGATCAGCACCGACGGCGCCAGCGTGATGACGGGAGCGCAGTCGGGCCTTGTCGCTCGTCTTCGCACTCGGATTCCGCATCTAGTATCATGCCATTGCATTGCTCATAGGTAGCCATTCGCACTCCACCCGTCTTTTATCATGCTGTTTCTCCGAGCTTTGTTAATCATCCCTCCGTGGCCATGCATGCAGGGAGGCCCTAGCCGCTAAGGACGCGGCAGCGGACTTTCCTGATCTAGCTGTGGTCGACAAGGTGGTCCGCTCCTTGGCGGATATCCTCGGCCGTTCGATCGTCGTCCACAACCGCTTCAAGCAGCTGCAGGAGGTGGTGACCGAGACCAGCCTCGAGATGCAGGGGATCCATCAGATCCGCTGGCTTTCTCGGGGTGAAGCCATTCAGCGGCTGGTCGAGGTCTTCCCAGCTGCTATCCTCTTGCTGCGGGAGTATGATAGTCAGATGTATGCTGTTGTCACTAGCCTGAAGTTCCACTTCCTTCTGTACTTCCTGGCTGACATCCTCGCGGGATTCAACGCGTTGAATCTGAAGTTCCAGCGTCGACAGGTGCGTCCTTCTTAGCATGATTTCTGTTTACATGTCCGAATACTTTATAATGTTTGCTTTCTCTTTGTTTGCACCCCTCCCCCAGGTCGACGTGACGCAAGTTCTTATGATGGTGGACAACACCATCCTCATCCTGCGCAGCCGGTACGTCACCTACGACTCGCAGTTTGGCCCGACCTCGGGCGACTTCTTCGAGTTTCTGCAACTTCACGCTGGCGGCAAGGACGTTACTATCTCGGGCACAGATGCAAACGGCACTCCTCTCATCCACACGTACCAGCTTCATGAGCGACCGATCGAAGGCCAACAAAGCGGAGGGGACATGGAGTCACTCCAGAAGCTGGCAACTGCTGTAGTGTTGGCGATGATCGGCCATCTGCGCGGCCGATTCCACGACTTGTCCTCCCTCAACGGCACTCGCCTCTACAAGCAGAGTTTGTATCCTCGAACCGCGTTCAGGCGCGAGCGTAAGTTCATGGAGTGGCTGTTGTCTCTGCGCAACCTGTGGAAGCGCGACCCCACAGCCCCTGACACCCTGCCCGGTAAGGCCGCTCCCTTGTCATCGCGTCTATAAGTGGCTGCTCTCTCGCGTGTATAACCATGCTTTCCATTGTTGCCCATTCCTGACTTCTGTTTACCCACCCTTCCGCCGACCCCTCCCCCGCCCTCAGGCGTCCATTGGGGCAAGGCCAGGAAGGAACTCACCAGCTTCACCACGATCATGTCAACGCACCATGACGACCTCGACTTCCACGCTGCCCTAAAGCACATGCTCTCAAGCGACGACTGGAAGATGGCCTACCCCAACATTGTCCTTGTGTGGATTGCTGTCGCCGTGCTGCCTCTGAGCACGGTGGAGTGCGAGCGCGGCTTCAGCCGACAGAAAGTGATTAAGAGCTGGCTTCGCGGGAACCTCTGCGATGCGCGCCTGAGCGACCTGATGACCATCTCGCTGCTGGAGTACGAGATGGAGTGGGAGGAACTGGTGACCATGTGGCGCGGGGGAGTCAAGAAGCGGCGCCCTGCCAAAGAAGTTGTGATGGCACAGGGCTCGAGGCCGACGAAGAAGCCGAAGAGGTCCGATGCAGTAAAAGCGGCAAAGGCAGCAGCGAAGGAAGCAGCAGCAGCAGCTCGAGAGGCAGAGGCATTGGCTGCTGTGGAAGCAGCACGTGTGTTTGAGGAGGATGCTGCAGCTGGCCCTGTGTGGAGGAGGAAGGGCAAGGGGAAGATGATTGCCATTGAATCTGACTCTGAGGAAGAGGAGGAGGCCCCTGTGGACAGCGACACCGACTCTGACTGAAGGCATCACCATGAGTACCAAGCAAACTCAGCAGCAGTAGCAGGCAGCCTCAGCAGCAGTAGCAGGCAGCCTCAGCAGCAACAGCAGCAGCAGTAGCGGCATTAGCAGGAGTAGCAGCAAAATAAGTGCTCTTAGGAGTAGTATTGGAAATATCTCAGCCCAACAAGTAGTTTGTGAGCTTAGTTGAGCTCACCTCTGCAATAGGCTGTTGTTGATTATTCCTGATGGTAGTAGCTGATGATTATTCATTGTATGGTAGGAGCTGCAGTAGTCTAACTTTTGACGTCATGTTGTACGTTGGTAACTTGGTAGTATTGATGAGCTGTGATAAAATCAGGATGCAAAACCGTCTGAATTCTCAGACTCGTGCTTGCATTTCGTCTGAATCGTAAGACAGGCAAAATAAATCCGTCTGACGGTCAGACGAAGCTCTAAGAGCCCGTCTGATTTTCAGACTGCCCTAAAAACTAGCAGGAGCCCTGCCCTGTCTAACATTAATGTGCTAGGTTAAAGTCCTACCCACCCAAAAAAATCGTCAAGGTTCAACCTATCTCAGCTCTGAAAAGTTTTAGTCCTGATTTTTCAGCCTTCGAAAAAAATTACCCTGAAAAAATTGCAACTTCCAAAAACCCGACCCTGAAAAACGTGGGCTCCTTCTGGGGGCACCCTGAGCCAACAGCCCCTCAAAATCCAATCTGAAGCCCTGTTCTTGTCCCCCCCCCCTCCCTCTCTCCACCATGCACCCTTTTACAAGCCACCGTGCCACTCCTTAGTGTGCTTGGGAGGTGCAGCAAGCATGGTTGTGTACAGTCGCATGTGCTCCTACGATCTGCCCCTAAACATAATGGTATGCACGCATGTGCTCTGCCCTCAACCCTCACTCCTGTGTCAACTCAGAGGTCACTCCCCAGTGGGCTTGGGAGGAGCAGCGAACATGGTTGTGTATAACCGCATGCGCTCCTGCGCTCTTTCCTCCACACTCGCTCCAACACCATCAGCAGCAGCACCAGCACCAGCAGCAGCGGCACTAGCAGCAGCAGCGGAAGTAGCAGCAGCAGGAGTGGGGACAGCAGGGGCAGTGGAGCCAGAAGAAGCGGCTGTGGCGCGAGCAGGGAGTTCAGTGGCAGCAGCAGCAGCACTAGCAGTGGCAGCAGCAGCGGGAGGAGCAGCAGCAGGAGGAGGAGGCATTGGCGTGTGAGGGGCTGGAGGGGGAAGGCCATGTTTGGGTGGTCTTGAGCCATGCTGCTGGAAAGTCGTGGATGGCTTTAGGAAGGCTGCTGCTGCAGCAGTCGCTGCTGCAGACGAACCAACTGATGCACTAGCAGAAGCACCGGCAGAAGCACCAGCAGTAGCAGTTGCATATCTATGCTCCTGCTGCTGCTGCTGCTGCTCCTGGTGGCTGCCCCTCACTTGCCCTGCTGCTGCTCCTCCCCTGTTGTCCGTTCCTGGCAGAGCCGCTGGCTCAACCATCTCTATTTCCTCCATCCCATCCTCTCCCTCACCCTCGCCTCTCAAGCTTCTCCATTGCGCCCCCACTCCTCCACCAACCACGTGCCCCTCTCCTTCTGTGCCTCCTTTCCCGTTTTCACCCAAACCCCCTCTTGCTGCTGCTGCTCTTGCTCCTCCCGCTCCTCCCGCTCCACCCGCTCCTCCCGCTCCTCCTGCTCCTCCTGTTCCTCCCACTCCCCCAACTCCTCCTACCCTTCCTCCTGCTGCTGCTCCTCCTCCCCCTGCCCTCACTCTCCCCCCTCCTGCTTCCCTCACTCCTGCCCCTCCAGCTCCCATCCTGCGCCTCCCAGATTCCCCTCGCCCCCCTCGGCCCCCTCGCCCGACGCCCGTTCGCCTTTCCACCTGCCCCACCACTATCCCTCTTTCCGCCTGCCACCGCCGCCAAGCCAGCTGAATCGTCACTGCAGCCCATGTCCGCCAGTGAGGGGAGTAGTACTTAATCAGCGCCCTCAGCCTCTTGTCCCGCAGCTGGAACCTAAAGTGCGACGCTATGAAGCACAGGTCAGCAGCAGACAGGCTGAACGCCTCCACTACAGTCACAGCCGTTAGAGTCATGGTTGCTTTCGGGAGGAGTGCTTCGTCCGGCTCTCGGGATAGAGCCCAGGAGAGCAGTTCTTCTCCTGAGAAGTGCCCTGGGCCCATCTCACAGGCACTCTCTGAATACAGCCCGAATCCCGCACCAGCAGCCGCAGCACCGAAAGCACCACCAGCACCAGCACCAGCACCAGCACCAGCACCAGCACCAGCACCAGCACCACCACCAGCACCAGCACCAGCACCAGCACCAGCACCAGCCCCAGCACCAGCACCAGCACCAGCACCAGAAGCACCAGCAACAGCGGAGGAGTCGCTCCCAGCATGGAAGTTGTTTCCAAAGCGGGGATGCAGGTGGCGATGGCGGCGGTAAGGGTGGTCTGGAGCGATACCCGCTGCTGCTGTGGCCGCTGCTGCTCCGGCTGTAACTGCCGCCGTCGCATCCCCTCTCGCTGCTGCTGCTGCGGCTCGCGCAAACGCAGGGACTTTTGGCCTTGAAAGGATTGGAGGGCTCGGGGCACCGGTTACAAGAGCCCCTGTTGCGCCTTGGGCAGTGGCTGTGACGTTGGATGCTACTGTTGCAGCAGTGGAGGCAGCAGAAGTGGCGGCAGCAGCAACAGCAGCAGCAGCTGCGGCGGCTGCGGCGGCGGCGGCAGCGGTAGGGGAAGAGGGGGGGGTTGATGTGTGCGAGGATGGGACTGTGGTGACATCACTGGCTGAGGGATTAATGGCTGTGCCGCCAGCACCAGCAGCACCAGCAGCGGTGGGAGCAGGAGCGGGATCGTTAGCACCAGCAGAAACGCCACCACCACCAGTGCTGGCAGCAGCAGCAGCGCCAGCAGCAGTAGCAGCAGGAGCACCAGAAACATTGATACCAGCAGCAGACATATGAGGGGTGGCAAGCGGAGGCAGCTTCGGAATAGCAGTGAAGGCAGAAAGAGATGCATTAGACGACGCAGCAGACACGCCAGAAACACCAGAAACACCCGAAACAGCAGAGGACGCAGATCGAAGCCCCAGGGACCTCACGGCCGATGGCAGGCGGAAGCTCGCAGACCCAAACACATGCGAGCCGCGAGCCAACGAGGAAAGCCGGCCCCCCACAGCCCGACTACCACTCTGGATGCTGCTTCCCAAGGATGATTTCCTCCCACTCGCTTCCCCAACTGCATGCCGCTTGCTCCCGCGCCCACCCTCACCACCACCGCCTTTCCCTTTACCGTTATCACTCTCCACGTCATCCCGGCATCCCCTCAGGTACCCCCGGGCGATAAACAGCATTTCCTCCACAGGCTCGCCCCGCCTGGCCACCTGAGTCCCCGCTATAAGCACCACGGACCGCAGTTTCGCGCAGATATTATCCACCACAGCCTCATCCACCGCCTCGAAGAGCGGCACTCTCCGCACGAGCCCCCGGCACAGGTGCCGCTTAACATCCCTCTGGAGACTGTCGGGTAATCCGTCGAGCAGTTCGTCCTCGTGTAGGCCCCGCGTTGCTGCGAACGTGTGCCGCTCCTGGCGCCGCACGTTCATCTGGAGGGAGGCGGGCAGCTGGCGGCGCTGCATCCACCAGTCGAGATCCCTCCTGCGCAGGTGCATCTCCTCCATGCGAGCCGTCATGGAGTGGAGAAACACCTCAATGTTCCCGATGAGGGATGTGAAGAGAAGCAGCCCGCAGATCACCATGATCAGCGCAAAGATCGACTGCCCGATGCTCGCCGACGGCACCAGCGCGTTGCCGAACGTAGCCAGGGTCATGATACCAAAGAAGATCCCATACATGATCTTCTCAGGGGGGGGCTGCTCCTTCAGTAGCTGCACTGCGAAGTCATAAATACCGTAGTTGTAGCTGCCCGTGGTGCCGAACGGAGGGAAGCAATTATCCGTGACGTTGGTGCTCCCGCCCCATGCCGCCTGCTTGTTGTCCTGCGGCGGAGGCATGTCCCCCCATGCGAACTGCTCCGGGCAGGTCAGCCAGTCGTGCGTGCAGGCAGGTTTGGCCTCGTTGCACTGGTCGACCAGGCACTGGATGGCGGATTGCACGGCCTGCACGTACCACAGCGCGCCGAACCCATGAGCGGTGATCAGAAACACGAGCATGTTGAGCAGAAACCCCCACCAGGACGTGCCAAACACGTATCCGTTGACTCGCTGCTGCCTGCGCGCGACAACGTACGTGTGGTAGACCTTGAGACAATACTGTAGCAGCATGCACGACAGCATTATCCCGATGCCCTCCTCCACATACCCGTACTCTCCCTCCTTGGCTTGTACCAAGAAATGCGGCACGGCAACCAGGGAGAGCACCTGGGGGATGGGGAGAATCACCAGAGTGTCTAGGAACAGACCGCTCCAGGAGGTCAGGTGGTGCACGGCAACGGCTCTCGCGGACGTGATCAGCTCTCCCCTCCCTAGAACCATGCTTTCCCGGGACACGTACGCCGTGCGCAGTGCAAGGCATGAGTTGGCAAAGAAGAGCACGTCGCAGAGGGTGCGGATGGCCGCCATGGCGATAACGTACGGCCCCTGGATGTAGAGGCAGGAGGAGTCGCTAGAGAAGGAGAGCATGTAGAGGAAGCAAGGGTCGGAGAAGAGCGAGAGCGCCGTGACGCCCATGTAGAACCGCGTCCATAGCTTCGTGGCTGGGCTCCGCGGGTCGATCACCCGCCCGAACCACCACCGCTGCCGCCCCCACTCTGTGATGCTGCTGCTCACCACGCTGCTGGGTCCGCCCCCGCCGGCACCCCCTGTGGAGGACTTGGCGGACGTAGACGACGGGCCGCGGGGAAACGCCTGGGAGGCGCTGGTGGGGTAGCGGAAGGTTCTGCTGCCGCCGCTGCTGGTGCTGAAGCTGGTGCTCATGCTGGCGCTGCTGCCGCGCTGGTTCACTCCACTCCCCATGCCACGCCCACGGCCACCGCCCATGCCACCTCCACCGCCGCTGCCAACCCCGCTGCCCGTTCTACTCACGCCAGTCCTCACGCCTCCCCCGCCAGTCCTCTGGCCGTCTGCTGCACGCTCCCCTTCCCCCGCATCCCCTTCCCCCTCCCCCTCTCCGCCCTCCTCCTCCCCCTCCCGCCTCCGCTTCCGCCACCGCAGCTGCCTCTCCCGCCACCAGTCCCCCCCACGCTCGCACAGCCCCTGCAGGAACCGCGGGCACCCGCTCCCCCACTCCGCCTCCCCCGTCGCCCGCCTCCCCCCGCCTCCCCCAGCGCCCAGCCCCAATCCCCCGCCGAGCCCTCCCCCTAACCCTATCAGGCCCGCCTGCATGGCCTCTGGCGGAGGGCTATCGAAAATCGACACACCTGGCACTCCCCAGTACTCGTCTTCCTCATCCTCCGCCTCTTCCCCCTCCGCCGCTTCCGCCGCTTCTAGCGCCCGCTCGCGCTCCTGCTCCTCCGCCTCCCACGCGGACAGCCCGTGGTCGTCGTCATCCGCGGATCCCCGCGCGGCGGAACCCGTTGCGCCGCGCACGTGCGGAACGAGAGACGCTTCCTCGCTTGACTCGCCCCCGTCGCGCCCCTCTTTCCCCTCTCCCCCCTCGTCCACTCCGCACACCGCTGCCCGCTTCCGCAGCGCGGGGCGCAGCAGCAGCGGCGCGAATACCGACGACCGCCAGCCTCTCACCTCGCTAGCTTCCCTGGATGCCGCCGCCGCCGCCGCACCGCCGTCGCTATCGCCGCCGGCGGTTGCGGCGGCGCTGCTTTCCCCCGCGCCGGCCGCCGCGTCAGGAAGCGGCCGGGTCGCGTCCGCGAACTGATGCCGGTCGCTGTCGCGGCGCGCGAGCGTGGGAAGGCGGCCGCTGAAGAAGTCGCGGGCGGCGGCGAAGCTAAACGCGCGGGAGGAGGAGGAGGCGGAGGAGGAAGCGCGCGAGGGGGAGCGGGAGGGGGAAGCGGCGGGCGGGTGCTGGCGGAGCGCAGAAGGGTGGGGCGCTTCCCCCGGAGGCGCAACTATGGCGGGGGCGGCGGAACCGGGGTGGCGGAGTGAGGGATCGGCGGAGGATCTACCACCGGGAGTTGCCGCGGAAAACGCGCGAGACGATTTTGAGAGGAAGGTGGGGGGGTGACGACGTAGCGGTTGCGGGGGGAAGTCGGCAGCGGCAGCGGCAGCGGCGGAGGCGGAGGCGGAGGCGGACGGCAGGGCAGAAGGCGGCAGGGCATCGAAGGCCGTTTCCTCGGGGATACTAACGATCTCCACAACGGCCGTGTCGCTGCGCGCTCTACCTACCGCCGGACCCGAACCGCGGACACGGCTTGCGCTGAAATTACCCACGCTGCCGCCGCCGCCGCCGGTTCCGCTGTTGCCGCTGCGGCTGCTGCCGCTGCCGCTACCATTGCCGGTGCCGCCGCCACTGCCACTGACGGCGCTGGTGCTATTATTGGTGCTGGCCGTTGTTGCCGCAGCGGCAGTGGGTGAAGTGACGGTGTCGGCCAGGTGCACGCCCGATCGCGACCGCGCCATTGGCGGACGTCACGGCGAATCCTGCTCACCTAAAGAAGAAACAAAGACAGCATTTCCTTACTGTGCGAAGGATCTCCCTTGAGCAGGTATCGCTGGCATATGGAGTTCCCGTGTGCAATCTACATGCGTATGGCAGGCAGGCGGATTGACTGGCCAGCCACACTCCACACACACCCAACCCACTACGGGCAGCAGCAGCAGCAGTGGCAGGGTAAGGGCGGGGTGCTTTTCGCGGAGAATGCAGTCGTTCGAAATCCAACCGTTCTAAAACGTATCAGAACCAACTGAAACATATACAACCGTGCGAACCCTTCTAAAAGCACCACGCCACTAGGGCGTGCTCGGGGGAGGGAGCCTGAGTTTCGGCTCGGATGAGGCGAGCCTTTTTAGAAAGGTAGGTTGGGCTTGGGATGTCTGTCAGTGAACTAGAACCAAAATGGATTCCCTGTTACCGTTCCGGAAACACAAGAAACCGTACCATAACATTGTCCTCCAGCGCTGGTTGGATGTCATGTGACATGTCACGTCGCTCCGAGGCGACCAGTGACGGCTGGCGCGCGTCACCACTCCGATACAACCTTCCCAAAAAAAAGTAGTGAACGGTTAAAGCATGTTCAGAGTTCCCAATGTCGAATGAGTTCATGACGTCGTGAACTAATTTACCCCTTCAAAAAAAATTCCAACGTCATCAAATCATTCGACGTCGAGTACTCCGAACGCGCCTCAGGCTCGCACAAAAGACGAGCACCGCCTACATTTTCCTGTGGGGGATAGATGAGGGCTCGTTCTGGGCTCGGGGTTAGCCCCGAGGCAGGGCTTCGGGGCATCAGTTCAACGGGTTAGATCAAACAAAGTAAGGGCTTGGGAGATCTCATCCGTTGAACAGATGGCCCGAAGCCCTGCCTCGGGGCTTGCCCCGAGCCCAGAACGTCCCCTGACCTTCATTAACACGTGGACAAAACTTTTCGGGCACTGGGAAACCTAGATCCAAAAATCAGCAACATGTGTAGCTACAGTAGCCCAGGCTTATATCTATACGTTACCATAACAGCCACCACTATATACAGCAAAAAGCGTGAACTACTATGATGCCTACAACCTATTTGGGCACACATCGTCCGCCATTAACCTTCTTATAACCTGCAGCACATTTGCCACAAATTATCCACCCTTTCCTGTACACCTTGAGGCAGTAGGACTTGGCACAATTGCGCTTGGAACAATACGAATCAGGAACTGCAGGTGTGGGTCAGATAGGGGGGGTGGAAGGACGGGAGTGGCGTATGGGAGGGAGGGTGGTGAAGGGGTGGAAGTGGGGGTGGGGGGGGGAGGGTGAAATGGAGAGCGAGCACGAGGGACAAAGAGGGGGGGAGAGAAAGTGAAGGAAAGGAGAAGGATTTTAACGAGAGGCACAGCATGCTCCCACAGCCAAATCATGTCCTTACCAAAGCATGTTCGAGTGGGCAGCTTGTAGGAGAGGCAAGTAGGGCAGGAGGCGTTGAGCTGGGTGGCAGAGAGGCAGGGGTAGGGTGGGCCCTGCGTTCGCTCGCACATTCTGGCCTCCTGTATCGGCCAGTGGTAGTCGCTGTAGAACATCTTGCGCCTGGATGAGGCAGCAGAGAAACAGTCAAAGTTGTGGGGTCAGCAGTTATAAATGTCCAGACAGGATAGAAACAGGGGAAAGAAAGAAAACAAAAAATGAACTTGATTTGCAAGCACTCTTGTGAGAAGCAACACTGCTTTGAGCCATTGCCTTATGGACAAGCAAACCCTCGAGTGCTTTCCTTGACACATCGTGTTACCCAGACTCGTAATAGCGCACACAGCCTCAGTACACGCGCAGCCGTACCAGCACTGGTCGCAGACGTCAGCGTAGCACACCCATTTCTCTATGGTGGAGTCGCAGTTGGGCCCCTGCGCATAGTCCGTCCCCATGCAGTCCGTCACGCACTTGGTGCTCGTGACGTCTGGGGTACGCAGGAGATTGGGTTGGGTGAGGAGAGAGGGGGAAGACGAAGGGAGGGAACGGAGTGAAGGGGAATGACGGAAGGAGGAACGAGAAGAGGAAGGTCGGAGTGCGAGCGAGTCGGTCGTACGCCGTCGCTGTCACACTTGCTGCGCTGGCGGCTTCGGCGGAAGGAAGGCCTCCTTCCTGAAACTCGGAGTTTGATGGCAAGTGAGGAAAGTGAAGATGAAGGAGGAAGACATGTTTGATGAACATGAGGCTTCGATACAGTCGCGCTCACGCACTTAGTGGCGTGTGTGTTGTGCGAAAGGGGGTAGGTCAAGAAGAGTGGATTAGCCGGATGCGGAGGAGCGAGACTCTCCCTCGAAGGGAATACTAGATCCCATTAGTTCTAAGCGCTGCCGAGAGCTGGGATCCAGGTAGCAGGGATGAGAGCCAAGCATCTCCCCTTTCCTCCACTCACGCGCTCCTTACTTTCAGGGCAAGTGCGACCCTCGGGCACGCATCGTCCGATGCCATTCGCGCTCCGCCGCTTCTTAGCTTGGACGCCGTTAAAGAACACGCAGTGCAGCCCCGGGCCGCAGAACGGACCAGGATTATTCGACGCGCCTTGGTCACGGTCCCACAGCGTGTATCCTAAGCAGCGCGCTCCGGCCTTCAGGGTCGCGTTTGGGCCGGTGTCGGCGCGCGCGAACAACGGCGGGTTTTTCGGCGAGAAACACGGCGGGCTGTGCGTGAGGGTGCTTAGCGCAAGGAAAGGAAAGGTCGGCGGGGGGGTTAGAAGCGGCATCATCGTTAGAAGGAGCACCGCTGCGGCTGGAAGCCGACAAGGAAGGCGAGGCGTCATCATAGCGGCGAGCGGCGGGTGAAGAGAAGTCAAGACGGCAACAGGGAGTTGAGGGACGAGAAAGCTGATACGTGACGGCGAAATTAAATGGACTGCCGCGTTCGTACTAGCGCGTTTCCAGCAACACGGCTTCAGGAATTAGTGTTCAAAAACTCGTCGACTGATTCTCGGAAAACAACCTTACTAGGACCGTGAATTGTGACTGGTGATTCGTGATTCGTGATTCGTGATTCGTGATTCGTGAGTCGTGACGAGCGACTCGTTCAGTACTCAGTGAGACGCTAAGTAGTACTCTTCGGCAATAGTGGCGATGTGGACTGGTATGGTGCATTTCCTCGCACATCGTATGCCTGCTGCCCATCCCGCCCCAGTCACCGATCGCGTGACTGACGGCTGCGAGTTCTTGGCCCGGGCGGCTGCAAATATTCGGTGTCGCTACTGTATCGTCATTTTCGAGGTCTACACTCTCTGCTTCTCCTACGGCAGGCCTCCATCCAGGAGTTGTTTTAAGTGCGATATTGCGTTGTTTCAGTTGAAGGAGGGTTGGATTAGCTGAGGAACCAATTCTTCACACTTGAACTTACAATTCTGTGAAAATACCCCCCTGCTCCCTAACCACCCAGAACGAGTTTGAATGACTATTTCGGAAAATTGCAGATTTCTTCGGGAGAACCCTTGTTCCTTCAAGTTTTCCCAATTTCGGTATGAAATTTCTGACGGCGAATCACGTTGGAAGCCGGACCGCGCCGCTGTCGCCGTCGATGAGGCGCGGCGTGAAGTGAAAGAGTTGCGCTGGCTGCCAAGTGTGCAGTGGAGGCGAATTTCACGTGCTCTTCGCTGACAGACTGTGATGTGTGTAACGTTCTATTTTCAACAGCCATTTTCGTCCTAATATATGCTTTCATAGACATGTCCTATGTACATTTACATTCCCCAAAATCTGAAACATTTCCCTACATGTAAAAGCATGGCCCTAATAAGTTGCCACCGAACCTCAAGGTGCGAACTTCTCAGCGTCACAAATCTACCTCATTTCACACCCCTCAACACAACAATAAGATATCCCACAACAATCAAACAAGCATGCATTTTGTTTTTGCAGATACATCAAACCTAAACACTCATGAATTCATATCTATAGGGTAACAAACGAGGCCACCACTGTACGAAGCTTCTCCTCAACCCTGCTCCAGCGGCGCTCATTTGCCCCAGTAGTCAGCGTGTAGAACTTGCCTGTAACATGTACACCCACAGCATGTCAGGCAGATAAATTATACACAGATGGAGTGCGCAATGCAACCAGGCCCACAGGTGAGCGGCACCCGGAAAGCTCGGTCTACCACCTCATGGGATTAAGGCGAACACATGTTCAGCTCAGAGTTCCGGCTTTAGGACCATGTGGGCCCCAACCCAACAACCGTGCTTGTGATGCTTGGAGAAAGCAGTGTTCTCACCGTTGGCAATGGCGATGGTGCCGAGCGCATGGCGTGTGTAGCTGGACGCCTGGGCCACAAACTCGAAGTCGTAGTACGTGCGCCCGTCCAACTCCCTCTGTCACATGGGAAAACAACACGCGCACGCAGGAAGAGAGGAAGGTCAGGAAGGGAGGAAGGGCGGGAAGAACGGAAGATGGGTGACAGCAGGGACGAGCAGGCAGCTGCAACCTCTGACATGCAAAGACTTCCCTCACGAGGACGGTTTTGGACAGGCTGCTTGCATCCAAGCTAGCAGTTGAAACGCAATCATGTTGCCACGCAGGAATGCTGGCACATGCATGGGTATCACAATTCTCTCAGCACCTGTGCCACAATCTAGCGTCACCAATAGAAAGCACTCTTCTGTGCGCAGCGAGTCGTGCTAGGCGTGCTGCTGCAGCTGATCCACCTGCCTGTGGCTACAGTACATCTGATCTCCCGTCCGTCCATCTGTCCTTCCATCCATCCGCCCGCCTGCCCGCCCGCCCGTCCATCTGTCTGTCTGTCCGTCTGTCTGTCCGTCTATCCGTCTGATTGCCTCTGTCCATGTTTGCCCATGCATGCCCGTGCCAGGCCCATTCCTGCCCACGACCGTCTGTCTCACCACGCGTGTATCGATGAGCTTGGTCTTCTGCGAGGGCGCCGTGAGCACCTTCTCCACCAGCGTCTGGGCAACCTGGTGGAGAGAAGGGGTGTGGGGGAAAGGGGTGTGGGGGGAGGAGGGGAGAAAGGTTGGGGAAGAAGTGAGCCAGGAACAGAACCTGGCTTACATGGGCACCCGGACACTATCCTGTTACCAGATTCTCCGGATGGAGAATTCTGACAGCATTTGCCAGTGCTGGATTCACACTCTGTTGGGAATTGCGCGCGGCACTAGAATTGCAGGACGATCCAGGACTCGAGTTGTCGAGTGCATGTATGCAGGGCGCATGTGTCTCAACTCGTCCAATGAAACACGGCCTCTTGACGCACATGGCTGGTGATTGCATGGGCGTTTTCACAGGCATCCATAAATACGGTGTTGATTGAAGTGACTCACCAGCGCTACATGGTTTCAGCCACCTTGGACGGAATCCAAGGATTCAGAGGACGAGCCTTCCTGATGTCGACTGCCTTTGTCTCCCCTGCGTCATGGGCCATGCGACATGCGTCGAGCGCATGCGCCACGTCGCTGTCATGTCCCCACAACAGGGCCCCCCTTCCACAAAGCTCCCCACCATCTCCCTCCACAACAAATGTTATGAGCTGTCCCCCACGGCCTGACCACTAACCACTCTCGTCTCCCCGGACCCTCCTCGCAGCACACACCGATGCCAGTAGGCCTGCAGCACGTCATTCACAATCATCCCCAACACCACCCGCCGCCTCGCCTCCACAATCCCCAAGTCAAGACCATGTGCTTCCCCCCCCCTTCCCAACCCGCCGTCCCTCCCCCCTCCTGACCGTGAGTGATCCCGCTCGCACCTGGTTGATGTCGCCGACACACGGAGTCTCCAGATGAGTGCGGCGTCTTCTCCGTGCAGAAGATGTCCCCCGACACGCTCTCAGGCGACTTTCCGCCCACCCAGCAACCGCATCCCTTCGTGCCCACCCAACCATCCCCATCACGCGCCCATGGTAAAAATCTCCAGAGATCCCCCCAGGCCCTCTTTCCCCGCACCAGGCGGGCCTACATCTGGTTTCCTAGGCGGCCCGCAGCAGCACCCATCCGTCCGTCACGCACCTGGTTGATGTCGCCGATCTCAGCGAGCGACGTCTTCTCCGTGGGGAAGATGTTCACCGACACGCTCTCCAGAGGCTCGATCACGTCCTTAAACACCACGTCCTGCCCGCGCACGCTCACCTCCTGTTGAGGGGGGGGGGGGGGGGGAGGGGGGGCGAGGGGGAAACGGGCGGGGTGGGGGGAAGACGGGTGCGGAGGGGGGGGGAGGCGAATGGGAGGGTAGGGGTGAGAGGGAGCAGGGGGAGGGCCACGCTCTCCAGGGGCTCGATCACAACACCACGTCCTGCCCGCGCACGCTAACCTCCTGACGAAGGGGGGGGGGAAGTAGCTATGAGGGACACGAGCGGAGCATGGGCGGAGGAAGAATGAGAGGGGAAGCACGAGCGGGGAGGCATGAGCGGGGAGCATAGGCGGGGGATGACGCACGCACCTGCCAGCCGAAGGGGTAGTAGAACTGGTAGCGGTCGACGGCGTCCTGATGCGCCGCATAGCCCTTGGGCGCCGCTGCACACAACACAGACACGGCGAGACAGACAATGGCGAGCAGCAGCAGAGGCAGGAGCAGTGGTGGTGCGGAGGGAAGGCGGACGAGGGGAGAGTGAGAGAGCAACAATGAGGACAATCGATTCAACACGAGAGGAGAAAAATCGCTGAGAAGGCTCGGAATGAGGGGAAGGGAAGGGGGGGACGGGGGAGGGAAGGAGGGGAAAGAGAGAGGGAAGGGGGGGAAGGGAGAGGGAAGGGGGGGAAGGGGGAGGGGGGAGTGGGGAGTGGGTGGGGGGAGCGAACGCAGAGACTGCTGTGCTGCGAACGCGAGCTGCAATGTTCGTTGGCCATACGGGCATTCGCTGCCTGCCCTACTCTGCTCTGCACTCACCGAGAGCAAGCGCGGAGTCGAGCAGCGGAGCGGGGGCGAGCGCGAGGGACACCGCGGACGCCGTGCCGAGCAGCACGTTCCGCCGGGTGGCCGCGGGGGTGGCTGGTGGCGGAATGAAAGGGAGCGGGGAGGGGAGAGGGGGGGGGGGAATGGGGAGGACGGGAAGGGGGTGATGGAAAGGAGGAAGGGGTTGGAGGGGTGGTGGAGGAGGGAAGAAAAGTCGAGGAGGCCAGAAGAGGGAGAGGTGAGTGGACGTGGTGGAGCGGCAGAAGAGAGGTGGGGAGACGAAGGCACGAGAAGTAGATTGCTAGGACCAGGGAAGTTAACCTTTGGAAGGTATGAGGACTGGTCATGAGGACTGGTCATGGAGCCAAGGATAGCTCTAAATGGTCTGCCACTCGATCCTTCCTGGATAAGATCGGCTACCACGACAAAAGAACGGCCTTTGAATTGCAATTGCTTCGAAAGAGAATGCGTTAGCTCTCCATAGCGCAGCTCGCGGACTATGGGTACCTTAGCATCAACCATCCATGCTATCTGTTGCATTAACTCCACAGTAGGAACTACTGTAGACTACGCTATGCCTTCCGTAATACGTCTACGATGTATCCATCCCATTACCTTCGCACCGAGCCGCAGCCGCCGGCCGGCGGCCGGCTTGAGCAGCTGATCGCTCTGGCCGCGCCACGCAGGCGACCTTCCTCAACCCGCTGCCGCTCGAGTTCGCGCTCCCCGCAGTGACGCGACCCGACCAGCTCAGCGCATCAGCTTGCTGGCAGAGCAGCGATGACGTGGCGACGGAGGTGGTAGCCATAGTCGACGGAAGAGCTGTGGCCGAATCGGCGGGCTTGCTGACTACACGTTGGCGGATGGAAGGGCGGCGAAATGTGCAGGAAGGTGGCGGAAATGTCGAAATCAATGACCTGGTGGTACTAATTGGAGGAAGAATCGGGAAGAATCAAGGTTGCTGAAAAAGTAGATTCCCAGGGGGCTGCTGCACCAGGCTGGGCTGGGGAACGAAGCAGAGATTGAGGGCTAACAAGCCGAGGCTCGAGGTTAGGGTAAGTCTGGCACTGGTTTCGGCAGCTGAAACCGAACTGACCTTACCGGTTCGTTTTTCCCCGCACCTCCTGCTTGGTTCGGATCAGCCAAGACCTTTGGGGGGATATGCCCGCACCTCAATGCCGTGGCTGGAAGCCACACGTGACCGAACTGGCGGGGCATTCGGAACGTGACGTGGAACACTGCAATGTCAGTTTGCGGATCTTGCCATCTGATGTGGCGAACAAGGCTGGGTATGTTTTGCCTGGAGAAGTCCACGTCTCAGCCTTTCGAACGTGGACAAAACTGCGCCACAGCACATTGCCCTCAACTCAAGGCAGGTTCCAGCGAAACAGCTCATCACCGCTCTAGGGAGCTCTGTTTACGGTATAGTCAGGGCCGGGCCAAAATGTGGAAGTCCATAAACAAAAGCACCAAAGCGGAATATGCGCCTTTCAAACGCCTCATTAGTCTCAAAATTATCATGAATCACAATATTTTCAATTATTAAAATAGCTAAAATATTTACTCAAAGGATCTCCATGAAGAACAAGCCAGGGCCGCCTTTTCAGATGCGCAAATAATATGTTCAATGCAACCATGTGTCATTGGTGCATGCTGTCTGATATTCTCCATATTGAGTACAATGATGGTGGCCTTCGGCTGCTACTTGTGAAGTTGTCCAGCATGGCACCCTAGTTGCGTGGCACCCACAGAGTTATCCACGTCACTGACCTTGTTGGCAAGTCCCGAAATGCGGAATGTACTCAGAGCAGGGCGTGTTTGGAAAATCTCATCGGTTAAGTCTATTTTACCGCCAAACACCAGATCCTCTGTAATCAGTTCAATCTGAAAATTCAGCGACAGATTTATCCAATGACGTGATCTCCCGACACGTACGTAACTAGACTATAGGGCGCTGCAGCCCGAATTTGTGTTTGTCCAACACGCCTTACCAAGGGGATTTGCGTTGCACCGATGCACGCAAATCCAAGTCCCAGGCGATCCTTCCTGCGGTGCCATTTCTGTAGTAACTACAGTTGCTGCAATTAACCACAGGCTTAGCCCTAGCCGCGTCTCCTACGTGCTTCCACCATGAGCCCTTCCGCCGTCTCTCCGCACTCCGCCATCGCCGCGCGGATGTCCGCGCATTGTGCGCCCGCCGCGTCCTCGCTCCCTCTCCGCTCTTCCCCTTCATCCTCCGCCTCCGGCACAATTTCCGCATCTTTCCCCGCTTCCCCTTCCCCCGGCTCTTCTCGCAAATCCGCCTCCCGAAGCGCGTCCTCCTCCCCACTCTCCGCAATCTCGGGCGGCGGAGGGGCGCCTCTTTTCCGCCGTCGCACTGCCATGCAGCGGCTCGGTGGGCTTCTCCTTCCGCTGATTGGCTCCGGGGGGGCGGCTGGGCCCGCCGTGGCGCGATCAAAGGTTTCGGAAGCAGAAGAGGTAACTTTCGCCTCCGATCGCGCCGTCACTCCGCGGGGGGGGAGGAGGGGGGGGGTGGGAGGGAGGTGGGTGGGGGGGAGGGGGGGGGGAGGGGTGGGTTGATGCTTTACGCCGCCTCAGAAATCGAGCTTGCGCGACCGATCAAGCACAGGCGATAGGTGACTGTTAGTCCCTCTCACCATATTAGAATATCGGTGCTAAGTAAGGGAAAGGTCATGAACGTCAGATTCTAGAATGCGGCTATTAACGCGTCCAGGCTCGTTGTTCAAAGTCATCAGCGCCAGTTGATGAAGTGGCGGGCGTGAAGTGGCGGAAGTGAAGAGGCGGAAGTGAAGAGGCGGAAGTGAAGAGGCGGAAGTGAAGAGGCGGAAGTGAAGAGGCGGAAGTGAAGGACGGGAGTGCGGCAGTGGGGATGGTAGGAGGAGAATCTGTTTCCCGCCGATATGGGAATCAGCCCTCATCTCGTTTCACCGCAGCTGTATCACCCCACGTTCTCCCCACCTTCGTGTTTCTCCCCTGATCCCCCCTCTCTTTCCCCTTCCACCTTCCCCCTTCCCCCTTCCCCCTTCCCCCTTTCCCCTTCCCCCTTCCCCCTTCCCCCTTCCCCTTTCCCCATCTCCCCGCCTTTCATGTTCCCCCCTTAGGTGCTGCGGAAGGCGGAGTGGCCGCAGCAGTTCCCCTTCTCCGCAGAGGACTTCAAGCGATATGACGAGTGAGTGGGCGGGTGGGTGGGTGGGTGGGTGGGTGGGTGGGTGGGTGGGTGGGGGTGGTGCTACCCACGAGTGGCTGGGGGGGCGGGATGGTGTGGTGCCTGAGGGGTGGCGGGATTAGTTTCTTCCTTTCAAGACTGTTATCGGATACGTCAATGATGAAGCATATACGTGGCGGTGGAAGAGGAAGGGAGGAAGAACGCTGTTTTGGTCATGAGACACTGCACAGCACACAGTACGTCCACCCAACCTCCCAACCAACCCCCACCCGCTCACTCACTCACCTTGCGCATCCTTCCCTCCCTCCGTTCCTCCATCCCTCCCTCCCCCCATTCTCCCTCCCCCCCCCCCCCCTTTCCCCCTCCCCCCCTCGCCCTCCCCCGCCCTCTCAGGACGCCCGACACGGTGTTCTACTCCATGCCGCGCTTCGTGACGCACATTGACGATGCAGCCATCCGCGCCCTCACGCAGTTCTACAAGGACAACCTGCCGCCGCCCAACACGCCGGGCGTCTCCGTGCTCGACATGTGCAGCAGCTGGGTGCGTGGGGGTGCGGATGGTGGGGGGGATGGGGGGGATGGGGGGGATGGGGGGGATTGGGGGGGATGGGGGGGTGAGATTGTGGCATTTTGGTTGAGTTGCTGGTGCAGTGATTTCCTTGCAGCAGCAGCTGGCTGGGTGGGCTTGGTGGGTGAGAGGGATTACCTGATAGAGTGGGGAGGGTGGGGGGCCCTTGGGGTTGTCACAAACAGCAAAGAGTGAGAGTTCTCAACAGCACTACTCTGCTTGCACTCAGTCGCTTTGAGACTCAATGATGTGCACAACGCAACCTTGCCCCTTCCCTCTCTGCTCACTGCCCTCGCCCCTCCTTCTTTCCTGCTCTCCTCCCTCGGCTCTCCCGCCCCTCGCGTGCAACAGATCAGCCACAACCCCAAGGGGTACAAGCAGTAGCGGGCGGTGGGCATGGGACTCAGTGAGCGTCAATCCCTCCCCTTACACCTCTCCCCCATCCCCGCCCTGCCCCCGTGTTCCCCTGGACCCGCCCCTCGCGTGCAACAGATCAGCCACTATCCCAAGGGGTACAAGCAGGAGCGGGTGGTGGGCATGGGACTCAACGAGGATGAGCTGGCGCGCAATGACGTGAGACGTGCTCTCACCCCACGGCCATGGGCACGGGAGTGGGCATGGGCACGGGAGTGGGCATGGGCACGGGAGTGGGCATGGGCACGGGAGTGGGCATGGGCATGGGAGTGGGCATGAGTATGGGAGTGTGCATGAGTATGGGAGTGTGCATGCTTGGTTGTTCTCGAGTCTCGCATTCGCAACAAGTTTCCCTTTCCCCCCACCGCCCTATCCATCTACCCCCCACACCAGGTGCACACGGAGTATCTAGTCCAGAACCTCAACGCCAGTTTTTTAGACGTCTCATAAATATACCCCTGCCACCTCCCCTACTGCCCTGTCTACCGCACCTACCAGGTGCTGACGGAGTATCTAGTCCAGGACCTCAACGCCAACACCAAGCTACCTTTCCCAGACAACACCTTCGACGCCATCACCAACGCCGTACGTCTTGTGCCCTTCTGCATACACCCGTCCTTCCTGCTACGTACACCCGTCCTTCCTGCTGCATGCACCCATCCTTCCTGCTGCATACACCCGTCCTTCCTGCTGCATACACCCGTCCTTCCTGCTATATACACCCGTCCTTCCTGCTACATACACCCGTCCTTCCTGCTGCATGCACCCATCCTTCCTGCTGCATACACCCGTCCTTCCTGCTGCATACACCCGTCCTTCTTGCTGCATACACCCGTCCTTCCTGCTGCATACACCCGTCCTTCTTGCTGCATACATCCTTCCTGCTGCATACACCCGTCCTTCCTGATGCATACACCCGTCCTTCCTGCTGCATGCACCCATCCTTCCTGCTGCATGCACCCATCCTTCCTGCTGCATACACCCGTCCTTCCTGCTGCATACACCCGTCCTTCTTGCTGCATACACCCGTCCTTCCTGCTGCATACACCCGTCCTTCTTGCTGCATACATCCTTCCTGCTGCATACACCCGTCCTTCCTGATGCATACACCCGTCCTTCCTGCTGCATACATCCTCCCTGCTGCATACACCCGTCCTTCCTGCTGCATACACCCGTCCTTCCTGATGCATACACCCGTCCTTCCTGCTGCATACACACGTCCTTCCTGCTGCATACACCCGTCCTTCCTGCTACATACACCCGTCCTTCCTGCTACATACACCCGTCCTTCCTGCTGCATGCACCCATCCTTCCTGCTGCATACACCCGTCCTTCCTGCTGCATACACCCGTCCTTCCTGCTATATACACCCGTCCTTCCTGCTACATACACCCGTCCTTCCTGCTGCATGCACCCATCCTTCCTGCTCCATACACCCGTCCTTCCTGCTGCATACACCCGTCCTTCCTCCTACATACACCCGTCCTTCCTGCTGCATACACCCGTCCTTCTTGCTGCATAAATCCTTCCTGCTGCATACACCCGTCCTTCCTGATGCATACACCCGTCCTTCCTGCTGCATACATCCTCCCTGCTGCATACACCCGTCCTTCCTGCTGCATACACCCGTCCTTCCTGCTGCATACACCCGTCCTTCCTGCTGCATACACCCGTCCTTCCTGCTGCATACACCCGTCCTTCCTGCTGCATACACCCGTCCTTCCTGCTGCATACACCCGTCCTTCCTGCTGCATACACCCGTCCTTCCTGCTGCATACACCCGTCCTTCCTGCTGCATACACCCGTCCTTCCTGCTGCATACACCCGTCCTTCCTGCTGCATACACCCGTCCTTCCTGCTGCATACACCCGTCCTTCCCGCTGCATACACCCGTCCTTCCTGCTGCATACACCCGTCCTTCCTGATGCATACACCCGTCCTTCCTGCTGCATACACCCGTCCTTCCTGCTGCATACACCCGTCCTTCCTGCTGCATACACCCGTCCTTCCTGATGCATACACCCGTCCTTCCTGCTGCATACACCCGTCCTTCCTGCTGCATACACCCGTCCTTCCTGATGCATACACCCGTCCTTCCTGCTGCATACACCCGTCCTTCCTGCTGCATACACCCGTCCTTCCTGCTGCATACACCCGTCCTTCCTGCTGCATACACCCGTCCTTCCTGCTGCATACACCCGTCCTTCCTGATGCATACACCCGTCCTTCCTGCTGCATACACCCGTCCTTCCTGCTGCATACACCCGTCCTTCCTGCTGCATACACCCGTCCTTCCTGATGCATACACCCGTCCTTCCTGCTGCATACACCCGTCCTTCCTGCTACATACACCCGTCCTTCCTGCTACATACACCCGTCCTTCCTGCTGCATACACCCGTCCTTCCTGCTGCATACACCCGTCCTTCCTGATGCATACACCCGTCCTTCCTGCTGCATACACCCGTCCTTCCTGCTGCATACACCCGTCCTTCCTGCTGCATACACCCGTCCTTCCTGATGCATACACCCGTCCTTCCTGCTGCATACACCCGTCCTTCCTGCTACATACACCCGTCCTTCCTGCTACATACACCCGTCCTTCCTGCTGCATACACCCGTCCTTCCTGCTGCATACACCCGTCCTTCCTGATGCATACACCCGTCCTTCCTGCTGCATACACCCGTCCTTCCTGCTGCATACACCCGTCCTTCCTGCTGCATACACCCGTCCTTCCTGATGCATACACCCGTCCTTCCTGCTGCATACACCCGCCTTACCCTTTGGTTGGTTGATCTGAGGCTGCCTTTCACAACCTCCTTGCTGCATACCTCGCTGCTGCATACCTCCCTGCTGCATACCTGCCTGTTGCATACCTTCTGTTGTGTTGCAGAAAATATGCCCCACACTTCCCTACCGTTCCCCTCACTGACCCCTTCTCCCCCCCCCACCCCCCAACCCCCCAACCCCTCTGCTGATATCGCAGGTGAGTGTGGACTACCTGAGCCGTCCCTTGGAGGTGTTTCAGGAGATGCACCGCGTGCTCAAGCCGGGCGGGCTGGCGGTCATGAGCTTCTCCAACCGCTGCTTCTGGACCAAGGCCATTCAGATCTGGACGTCCACTGGAGATATAGATCACATCCTCATCGTCGGATCGTACTTCCATTATGCTGGTGGCTACGAGCCTCCCCAGGTAAGCCTGCTGTGAGTCGACTCACTGGCAATGATGAGTTCAGGCCATTCAGGTCTGGACGTCCAGGGGGGGGACATTGACCACACTATGGTTATTGGATCGTACTTCCACCATGCCAGCGGTTACAGCCTCCCCAGGTGAGCCTCCCCTTCCCAAGTGTGATAAAACACTGTGTGAACACCCTGGTGACCCGGCCTCCCTCCTTTGGGGATCTTGCCTCTCTCCTTGGTGTGAGCTGGCAAGAAGGGCCGTGAGCTATATGCGATGTTGAGGAGTGCCTGCAACTTGGGACCTGAGATTGAAAATAAACACCATGTCTCTTGTTCTCTCTGCTTTCTCCGTAATGGCTGTGCCCCTGTCCTACCCCGTTCAGGCACGAGATATCTCTCCCAATCCTGGGAGAACAGACCCCATGTATGTAGTGTTTTCACGGAAACTTGAAGCGTAGGACAGGCCAACAGACTGGCCGTATTAGCTACTGCAGCTTAGACATACTGATAACAGTACTTAATTCCAACACAACACCTGATGGTTCAGAAGTCAGGTATATTGAAGGGATTTTCACACAAGCTTGTGTCAAACATATATTGTACGTGTCTATAGACTACATAGGGTTGTGCCTTAGGGAGTGACCCTCTTCCTCACCAGACCTGAACCCGGATATTTTTCCCCACCGGTCACGACTACTTCGACTGCTGCACCGCTCGGAGACCTACGGACCCTAGCGTGATTCTAATAGTGCAAGGATGCATTGTCAACCGTGATATGTTACCCTAAGTTTCGTGGCAGATACGCATTTTTTCGCCACTCTGCTCGTAATTTTTTATAACGGTATGATCAGGCCCCTAGATTGGTTTTGAGGCTTCCTGATCCATCAGGATTCTCCTTGCAGAAAAATCTGATTTTTCAGGGTCCCCTAAAAAAAATTCCTGAGCCATCAGAATTACTTCACAAAAAAAAACTGATTTTCCAATCTTTATATACATGTAATAGATCATGAATTTTGTGTGTTCAAGTCTTGGTTTTTGGGGGTGCTGGGAATTCGTAGCGAATTCGCGCGTGTGTGGCGAGATTGGGGGATGGGCAGGAAACGACAATTGGTGGGGGGGAGAGGGGGGAAGGGCTGAATAGGGGGGGAGGCGACGAGATTGCAGGGGCGGAGGGAATCTCTTCCCTCACAGAGCCCTAGGGCAGGCGCACATCAAGCAAATTCGGCCAAGAGCCAGCAATTGCCCTCACACAGTCCTCAGCACACCTCCCTCACATGACCTCCAACATATAGCGTGGAGATTTTTTTTACCAAGGGCCAATCAGCGCCCTCACACAGCCTCGGGGGGTGGGGGAAGAGGGGGGGGAGAACCTCGAAATTCTTGACTGCCCCCCCTAGACACGCTTTTGGAAAGGACTAAGACCCGCTACAATGCTGAGAAATTCAGGGTTCGCTAAGAAACCTTGCTGAGCGATCAGAGTTTACCCTTAGAAAAAGCCTGAAAAAACAGGGTTTGTCATTTACAAAACCCTGCACAATCAGGGTAAGTACCGAGAAACTCCCTGTTTTTTTCCTGAATCAGGAAATTTTTCCTGACTTCTGGGGGCCTGGGTACGATAAAGACGATCCATGATAAGACGAGACCAATCGACTAATGGCATCTTTGGCCACACCTCAGCATGGCTAGTTTAGAGTTAACGTTCAACATGAAATCGTGCACAGTACTCTTGCATATGTTCAAATACTTGGCGATTTTCCTAGTGCTCACCCCTTTATGCAAAAGCGTGGGTCCAGGAAGAGTGCAATAAGATCCCTGTAAAGGTTTGCACTAACATCGTAGATAACATGCCTAGGAGGGTGTAAGTGGTGATCAAGGCCAAGTGTCGGTTGACTAGGTACTAGTTTTGCTAGTAACTATTTTGCTGCCTGTCCCCGGTACAAATTGTCCGGATGTGCTGTTATTAAATGTTGTCGTCTTGAAGGACAATGAAATATACTACTCTGGTTTTAGGAGATTTGAGTGAGTGCTCTAACTGCTCCTCTCTACGTGTATGGCCACCATGAATTAAGGCTTAATGTTTATAGCGTACAGCTCGTCAAAATGTAAAAATATGCTAAACATGTGGACAATTGTTTCCGCCACTGTATTCACTATTGGGTGGTTTCTAGTTGGGCCCAACCAGAAAGAGGGGTCACTATTATAGTCTATTGCTTTAAGGGCGTAATCGAAATCAGCTTGTATCGGTTCCTGTAACTTCACTAGCTCAGAATACCATGTAGAAGTGAACCATGTGTTTAGGGTGGCCAGGATCTAGAGTTGGTGGAACCACGAGTAAAAGTCAGCAGAAGACTTTACACCCTTGTACTGGAAATGTCTGAAATGACAGGGATAATAATAATGAGTAATACATGCATATTTATAGTCTAGGAAGTACCTATTCGGAATGTACCTGTTCGTAGTGTCTTGCGACTATTCGTGTGACATGACTAGTGACTGTTCGTGTGACTGAGAGTGGCGTGACCCTTCGGGTGACTATACGCGTGAACATACTGTTCACGCGTTGACTCGCTACTGCTGACGTCATCACGTGTGTCCTTCCATATGAGGTATCACGTTACTAGTACTGTCTAAATGTTATATTAGGAATGCATAATTAAACTCTGTCGAGTATACTTCAACTGGATGGGCAGCGAGTGAGGGATGGGCAGCGAGTGAGGGATGGTCAGGGAGCATGAGAGCAAGGAGGGAGTAAGAACAAGGGGGAAGGGAGAGAGAGGGGGCAAGAACATAGGGAGGAAGAATGCAGGGGGGAAGAATGCAGGGGGGGGGGATGCAGGGGGAAGAACACAGGGAGGAGGAATGCAGGGGGAAGAACGCATGACGAAGAAAGCAGGGAGGAAGAAAGCAGGGAGGAAGAAAGCAGGGAGGAAGAAAGCAGGGAGGCAAAAAGCAGGGAGGCAGAAAGCAGGGAGGGAGAAAGCAAGGAGTGAGAATGCAGGAAGGCAGAAAGCAAGGAGGCAGAAAGCAGGGAGCCAGAAAGCAAGGAGGCAGAAAGCAGGAAGGCAGTGTTGGAATATATCCCAGCAGCCTCTTCCATGCACTCCAGCCTCCGTCCTCCTCACTCCATTCCTCCAATCCTGTCACCTCCTCACTGTCCTCACCCCCTCCTTCCCCCTCCTTGTCCTCCCCCTGTCCTCCCTGTCCTCCCCCTTTCCTACCTCCTCTTTCTTCCTCTCCTCTACATCCCCCTCTCTCTTGCTCCGCATCCCCCTCTCTCACACTCCGCACCCCCCCTCTCTCTTGCTCTGCATCCCCCTCTCTCTAGCTTCGCATCCCCCTCTCTCTCGTCCCACATTCCCCTCTCTCTCGCCGTGCATCCCCCTCTCTCGCGCTTTGCATCCCCCTCTCTCTCACTCCACATCCCCCTCTCTCTCGCCGTGCATCCCCCTCTCTCTCGCTCTGCATCCCTCTCTCTCGCACTCTGCATCCCCCCCTCTCTCGCTCTATATCCCCCTCTCTCTCGCTCTGCATCCCTCTCTCTCGCTCTGCATCCCTCTCTCTCGCTCTGCATCCCTCTCTCTCTCTCTCTCTCTCTCTCTCTCTCTCTCTCTCTCTCTCTCTCTCCTTGCATCCCCCTCTCTCTCGCTCTACATCCCCCTCTCTCTCTCTCTCTCTCTCTCTCTCTCTCTCTCTCTCTCTCTCTCTCTCTCTCTCTCTTTGCATCCCCCTCTCTCTCACTCTGCATCCCTCTCTCTCTCTCTCTCTCTCTCTCTCGCACTCTGCATCCCCCTCGCTCTCGATCTACATCCCTCCTCTCTCGCGCACTGCGCCGTCGGCCATGATGCGTCGCGGATATTCCTGTGCGCAGTCGCTTTTGTTGCGCTATTCCGAGCTAACTCGAGTAGCGCTGCCTCTCCTTCTATTCCAGAGCCATCGCTTGCCGACTTTGCGTTTGATCCTAACTACCCTCGGTAAGCTTAGGGGAATGCATGGGCTGCCAGTTTGCAATCATCCGATATTAGACTTGAGCACAATATCCGTGAAAGTTTGGAAATCCGTAATCCGCTTGACCTTCGATCGGGTCTTCTCTGAGTTGCTGGCAAAAGAGGAAATTTACGATAGCACAAGTCTCGATATATTACACTAAGTAATGGTCTACAGAAATGCCCGTCGTCTTCGGTTGCTCTCGGTTGTGTTCAGCGCGTTTGCCGCAGTGCGGCTGGTTGATGCTGTGACGAGTTTGCCTAGTTTGTGTAGTGCTGCTGTACCGTCTGACGGTAAATACCAGGATCAGAAATACGGAGTAGGTATACAGTAGGTATGGCATAGGTACGTCTGCTACGTAGTAGCCTTGCTACACAACAACTATACCTACAATATAGGAGAGATCCACATTTTTGTGACGTCTCTTTTACTTTGCTCGTTCCCCAGTTTCCTTTCCCAACCTCGTTTGAGTTTTGGTTTGCGAAGTTCAAATTCGTATTCGCGACAGTCGCAAGCCAGTATTCAGAATTTGAGCTCTCGCCACCCTCGCAGCCAATCGGAAAACTCTCGCCCCGACTCGAGCCGCGCTCTCTTTTAACTTGGGACATGGGCTAGTAGGGAACCCGGATCTGAAGACAGGGTTAAAGCCGTTGACCCAAAACGTACAAGATTAATAAAGATGAACCAGGCAAAAATTTGAGCTGGAGAAAGGACACGGGCGTGGAGGAGTGGTGTGAGGGTGGCGAGAGTGGGCGAACACAGCACACTACGAAAACCAATCAGAACGAGCATACAAATTATGACAGAACCAAAACGTTCGCAAACAACGACTGGGGGAAATCGAGGGTGGGGAAAAGGAAAGTGGGGGCGCGCGCAAGGCGCAGGGGGGAGTGGGGGAAGAATACCTGGTCAGAGCGGCGCACGGCACAGCGTGGAACACTGGAAACAGTGGGAACGAAGGGCACGTGACTCTGGGGTGCGCATCCTGGCCGAGTTGCGCAACTCGATTGGAATCGCCAGGCAACTCGACTTGCGCATATCAGGGCGTGGTACACCTCATATCACGAGTATGTCTTCAAACTGAAATTCGAACAACTGATGCGGTTGTAGACGTTTAGACCGTTTTCAACGCGATCAAGAAGGCTCGATAAGATTTTTTTTTTTTTTTTGCGAGTTCAAGTCGCGTACCTCACTTGAAACGATTTGTACCACGCCCTAATAAAAGCTGGCGTGTGCTGTGCATGGTGCTTTCGCTGCCTAGGGCGTAGTGGCGCTGGGCTGGGTTTGCACTCCGAAAAGTCCCAAAATGTATGGGGGGAAGTTCAAGTTTCATTCCGCTTATTGGGCTGAGAAAAGCCCTTAGGATCTTTTGCAGAGACTAAGTCCCAGTTGAAGATTAAGACTTGAGTAGTGCAGCGGAAGTTGAGGCAGTTGAACCCTTGTACTAGTATATGAGAACAAGTGATTGATTGAAGAAACAAGCATACAGCAATATATAGAAGATAGGAAGGCAGTTGTAGAATACAGTTACAGGAACGGTTTATCGAGTCGCACAGCGACTCGATTGCCGCTTCGGTTACCATCCGTGATGTTGTAACGGTCAGTCGCAACCTCCAGTTGCGACCTTTCGAGTCTTTTCGCATTCTTTGTCCGCCCCCTCGTGTAACCTCCGTTGACTCGCGTGCTCCCCTGTAATCTTCCTCGAGTACAGTGTTACACTTCAGAAACGCTCAAGTCCTTGGAGATATTTCCAACACTCCCCTTCGTTTCTGGAGTGCTGGAGTGTTCAGATCCGGTGACGTTTGTTTGCCCGGTCAGGAGCATGCAGTAGTCGAATTTTGCTTTCGCCAATTTCTTCGTCAGATAATCTGCGGCCATTTCTGTCGTTGGGCAGTAACTGAGTTGAAGTCTCCCCTTCGCGATTTCATCCTTGACGAAGAAGTACCGCAGGGCGATGTGCTTGGTTCGGTTGGCGAAGCCGTCCTTGTTCGCGATTTTGATCGCAGATTGGTTGTCGCAGAGGAGTGAGAAGGCGGGCAGGGTCGCAATCTTCGCTTCCTCGAGTAACTCTCGTAGGTAGAGTCCTTCCTTGGTCGCGGTACAAAGGGCGATATACTCTGCTTCAGCCGAGGATAGTGCGATTAACTCCTGCTTGCTCGACTGCCAGGAGATAGTTCCGATGGGTTCTAGTCGGTAGATATAGCCCGTCCTAGATCGCCGATTTTCCCTATCTCCCGCGTGGTCGGCGTCGACGTATCCGAGTAGTCGTACGGACGGTGTTGTCGCTTTGCTGTAGGTAAGTCCGATCGTCGGCGTGGACACGAAGTAGAGTAGTGCCCGGTTGAGCTCCTCGAGATCTTCCTGTTCCGGTTGCTTCAGATGCGTCGCCAGTTGACTCGCACTATAGGACAGGTCGGGTCGGCAGGTTACTGCTGCGAACAGTAGGCAGCCGAGCTTCTGTTGATATTCCTGGATTTGCTTCGCGGGGAGTTTTGCGGAGGTGCTGTTGTTGTTCCCGTAGCGGTAGGGAGTTGGGACCGTAGTCGGTGTTAGACCGAATTTCTTCGCGACGGTGCCTTAGTACTTTCCAGCGTGTAGGTAGAACGTTGTGTCGTCTTCGACGACATTCAGTCCTAGGTACTGGGTCACTTCGTCGGACACCGTAAGTGTTAAGTCTTCTTTCAGCTCCCCTTCGAACCAGGTAGCGATGTCGGTAGTGGAGCCGATGTAGAGCAGGTCGTCGACGTAGACGATGAGTAGGACATACTCTCTTCCCTTCTGCAGTCGGTACATCCCTTGGTCATGCGGCAGTTGTAGGAATCCGATTTTTGCGAGACGGCCGTGAAGGTGCTGCTGCCAGAGCCGCGGGGCTTGCTTGATCCCGTATAGGGATTTTGTCAGTCGGCATACTTTCGTGGGGTCGTCGATGAATCCGTGGGGTTGTTCGACGAAAATCTCAGCGTCCACAGGTATAGGAACGCATTGGCGACGTCGATTTGGCGTAGTGGTAGTGTCTTCGTGGCCGCGACGGCGAGTAGGATGCGTAATGAGGTGTGACGGGAGACTGGAGCGAAGGTTTCTGTGTAGTCAGTTCCGTATCGTTGATCGAAGCCTCGTACGACCCATCGAGCTTTGAATCGTTCGATGGAGCCGTCTGAGTTGGTCTTGATGCGGTACACCCATTTCCCCGAGAGGACGTTCTTCCCGTTGATGCTTGTTGCAGGTACCAGTTTCCATGTTTCTCGGTCTTGCAGAGCCTTTAACTCCTTTTCCATCGCTTCCTTCCATTTTGCCTTGTGTTCCCCCCCAAGAGCCTGCGACAAGGTCGAAGGCTCACGCGGAGAAGGCGGCGGCGGATGCTGGACGGAGACCCAGAGGCCTAGAATCTGCAGTCCCGTGGGTGTGTGTCGAGGGGAATTTTCATTCCCGGAATAAGCTGCTTCGTCACCGTCTTCTGGGTCAGGTAAGAAGTTGGGACCGATGCGTTCTGAAACATTTGTGTCGACTGGGTGGGGTGTAATGTAACCTTGGTCAGCGAAGTGGTAAAAGGTGTCGAGGTTGTTGCTATCGAGAGGATTGTCTTCGTCGAGTGGAACAGGTACGGAACAGAATGGGAGTGGTCCGGCAGCTTCCGAGGCTTCAGGTACGTCTTCTTCTGCTGCGTCAGCTTCGGCAGCACGGTCGGCGAAGGAACGAAGTCCCGAGAAGCCGTCGGTGGGTCTTGTGTGTTGGCAATGTTGTCCAGGTAATGCTGCAGCGTCAGTCGCTCGTAGAAAATAACATCACGTGATGCCACGGTATTTTTGTCTTGTATGTCGAGAATTTTCCACGCGTGAAAATGTTTGGCGATGCCGAGGTGTAGTCCCCACCGAGCTCGTTGTGTGAAGCGTCCTGCTTGGGCTGTGTGGGGTCTGTACTGTACCATGCAGCCGAAAACTCGGAGTAATTTTGTGCTGCCCCTTTTTCTTGTCCACAACAGATGCGGTGATGCGTTGTTGGGAAGTGATGACGAGGACAACAGGTTGTGCAGGTGAACTGCATGTGTCATCGCGTCTGGCCACAGTGTGGTGGGCAGCCTCATCCCCAGAAGCAGTTTTCGCATTGTCGTCTGCAAGGTCCGGTTCATGCGTTCTGCTACCCCCTGCTGTTGGTGAGCATAGGGCAGAGACACCAGGCTTCGGATTCCTCTTTCCGCCAGATAGGTCCTGAAGCGTTGTGACTGGTATTCCAGTGCACCGTCTGACTGGAAGCTCTTGAGCTTGGTTCCTGATTCTCGTTCGGCGATGGGAAGCCATGTGGTGAAGGCCTCGAAGGCTTGATCGCGCGTTTTGAGATTGAAGTGCCAAACGTATCTGGTTGCTGCGTCGATGAACGTGATGACGTAGTTGAAGTCGGCTTCGGTGTCTTCTCGAGGCATGTTTAAAATATCGCTGTAGACCTTTTCCATCGGAGCGTAAGTAGGTGCGCTTGGGTTGTGATGAGATGGGAAAGGTTGATGAGGAAGATCTGCTTCGGGGCACGTGAAGCACCGTGCTCGTGGTCGTCGTAGTTCTTGGCCGCTCGTCGTTAGAAGGGCGTTGCGTTCTAACACCTCTGCTTGGATTGTTTGTAGTATCGTGCTGTTTGCAGGATGTCCGAGACGTTGGTGCCAGATGTCGTCGGAAGCGCGATGACCGGGCGAGCGGTGGTAGATGTCGGCGTTGGAGAAGAACGCGACGACTGAGGCGGGACTTCGACAAACTTCTCGTGTGATGGGCATAAGCTGGTCTGCTTCGGTTGGCGGTCCTCGGGTCGCTGGTGGTGGGACTCGGCTGGGTCCTGCTGCCGATACTGCAGGTGATGGTTTGGTTGGGATACTTGCGGGTACTTGTCTTTCTTGTCTGATAACTGCTAATGCTCGTGTTCTCTCTACTGCAGGTATGGTGTTGGAGTGCCAGAAGCCGTCACTGTCGAAGTCGGGATCAAGATCTGGCGGGTGAGTCCAGGCGGCGAACGATACGATACCGTCGCTGTCGGCAGTACCGCGGTCGGGGACGAAGTCCAACACGAAGACGCCGAACTTCAGGAGGGCACGACCGATGAAGAGGCCGCCCTTCCCGTGGTAAAGCCGAAACTCGTTGGAGTAGGAGTCGCACTCCAGGTGAATCCCCTTGGCCATTAGTTGGCTTACGCGTAGTAGGTTGTATCCCAGATTGTCGACAATGAGCACTTTGTTGAGCTGAAGTATGACGTTTGTCTCCATGGATTGTAACTGAACCACGCCTTGTCTGTTTGTCTTCAGGTTTTCGTTGTTGGCGACGGTGATGACGACGTCGCGGTTGAGGCGTTTCTCCTGTTGCACGAAGCGTCCCGAGGAGCACATGTGTTGACCGCTGCAGCTCTCCAAGAACCAGGTGTTTCGCCCGGTGGGTTCGGCGTTGGCGACCGCAGCATATGTTGGATTGACTTGAAGGCCTTGTGAGCGCGGTGGCGGCAGCTCTTCTTCGTCTGGCGCATAGGTGGGTGGTGATCCGGGTGCGCAGTTGTCGATGTGTACCATGCAATTGATAATGTTTGGTGTTTGTTGTGCAGATGTTGAAGAGCGCCTTGGGGGACTTGCTTGAGTGGAGGCGACTTGTGGGTCTGCTGGTCGGTAAACGCGAGGGCGGTTGCAGTTGACCTTGGAGTGCCCGGAAGTCTGGCAGTTGTGGCAGAACGGCGGCACGAAGGTAAGTCCCCTGTTGTCGCGTTCTTGCTTGCCGCGTCGATTGTAGGTGTTGTCGTTTCTTCGTTGAGTGTAGAAGACTAACTGCTGTTGCTTTCTTGGTTGTCTTTCTTCGAACAGGTCCATCTCCTGTTGTTCAGCGTGAAGCTCGGCGCAGAGGTGCATCTCCGAAATCCTTCCGTGGGCGCGAAGGAGCGATCGTGTAGTTCTCCATTCTGGCCCGAGCCCGGCGAGGACAAGTGTCACGAAGCTTTCTTCAGTGATTGTTCCTCCGCACCGAAGCAGGAGGTCGCGGAGGGTCTGGCAGCGACTCATATACTGCATCGCCTTTTCCCCGGTCTTCATCTGTATTGTAGTCAGTTGTTGCATGAGTCTGCTTTGTGTCACGCTGTCGTTTGCTTGGTAAAGGCACTTGAGATGGTGCCATGCGAGCTCCGCGGAGTTTCCATAGCTCCTGTATGTTCTGATGCTCTGCTGTTCTTGTGGTGACAGGTTTCTCAGGAGAACCGTATACGCCAGCAGCGACTGATACGTGAAGATTTCTTGTTCCCTTCCAGTGCCGTTGCTTGGGAATGGCAGGGACCCGTTGAAGTATCCCAGAAGATGCGCGGCCTCCATCAGCAGCTCGAACTCGAAGCTCCAGGTAAAGAAGTCGTGTCCGTTGAATGGTGAGGATGTCTGCAGTTTTATCACGTGCGAGAACTGCGCCTGGAGACTTAAGATTTCGTTTGGTGTTTGTTGTGATGCAGCTGCTGTTGGTTGGGCACGGGGCGGCATAAACTCGAACGTCCCCGGTGAAGAGTGATAAGGCGCAAAGGTAGGCGCTTGATTGTGTCGCCCAAACGATGAGTTGTCGAGGCTCATCGGCGCTAATCCCATGTTTCCTTCATTGCTTTGTGTTGAATGCGCAGGTGTCCTTGTCTGCTGCTGCTGGTCGAAGTGCGACATGAAGCTGAAGAACCTTTCCATAAGGTTGGGGTCCACGCTTGAAGAGGGAGATAGAGTCACCATCTCTGGTACTCTTCCCGTTGTTTCTTGAGCAGTCCCGGTCTCTGTCTGCAGTCCTGAGGTGTGCAGACCAGAGTTGCCGTGTTGAGTTTCTTGGCCGCTGGGTGAGCCCGTGGAGACTTTCTTGCCCTTGTTGTCCATGTCTTGTAATCAATGAAGTCGTTGAATTGAGTTGAGTTGCAGGTTGTTGATGGAGCGTAGTTGCTGGGAGTTTGGTCTCTGACCAGCTCTCATACTATATTGGGCTGAGAAAAGCCCTTAGGATCTTTTGCAGAGACTAAGTCCCAGTTGAAGATTAAGACTTGAGTAGTGCAGCGGAAGTTGAGGCAGTTGAACCCTTGTACTAGTATATGAGAACAAGTGATTGATTGAAGAAACAAGCATACAACAATATATAGAAGATAGGAAGGCAGTTGTAGAATACAGTTACAGGAACGGTTTATCGAGTCGCACAGCGACTCGATTGCCGCTTCGGTTACCATCCGTGATGTTGTAACGGTCAGTCGCAACCTCCAGTTGCGACCTTTCGAGTCTTTTCGCATTCTTTGTCCGCCCCCTCGTGTAACCTCCGTTGACTCGCGTGCTCCCCTGTAATCTTCCTCGAGTACAGTGTTACACTTCAGAAACGCTCAAGTCCTTTGAGATATTTCCAACACCGCTCAAACGCCTGGTGTGCCGGGGGCAGGGGCATAATCAGCTGGGGGTGGCGCAAGATTTTAGACTGTTTCCCGTCGTTTTGCTGCGCAACTTTCGTTTTTGCTCTCGCTCTGGGGAACTGGGTTACCAATCGGGGGTTTTGAAGATAGACTTGAAAGGCAATTTATGCAATTTGGGTTAACGGCTTTAAAATCCAATGTGAAGACCAAGCGCAGGGATTTGGTGAAGACATCAAAGGAATCCGTACAGGGGGTATGCTCTATGCTCCAAATCCGCGACTCGCAGATATGGACTACGACGAATAGGAGCGGTTCATTACGGGCAAAATGGATTATCGAGTAGCACGTACGGTTTTAGGTGGGGTGGCGTAGGCTGTTTTTCTCTTTCTGTTCACGATGGGTGCCTTGGCGTATTGGCCCTTGGGCCAGGTTACTAGCGACTCCGCCGCGTGTCATGTGAGGGCTCATGTGGCTTCTTAAAAAACGTTCAGAAAATTTGTCGTCTGGTCAGAGTTATCGCGGACAATAAAAGTAACACCTCGTTCTCGACCTTCCGCAAGCAGCGCATGCTCAAAACACGCAAATCATATAATTGGAAAAAACCCTTTTCGTGGTCTCACGAAAAGGGCTTAACATAACGAAATTATGACGACTCGCCTGAGCGGTTTCGTCAACCAATCACTTACTTTCACGAAGGTTAAAAAAACCATTGAAGAAAAACATTTTCGAAATGTGCATTGGTTAATAGTGATTGAGGGACCGTGTGTCGTGTTTTCGTATTCGGGACGGACCTGTTCGTGTCACGCGGAAAGCCTGAATATTTACGTCTTTGGTTATAAAATATGGAAAATGCCTCGAATGTTCTTGACACGAGGATTAGAATAGGACCGAAATAATAAGACAGAATGAATGAAAAGGGGGTACGGATTCATGCCCAGGTCAGCGCACATACAAAAGTGCCAGGTGGACGGGGGTACCAGCTGGCTGTCGCCCCCCGGTCCGTCGTGATTACGTCCGATCGCCCTGGCAAGCGCGTATTGGCCGGGCAATTCCAAGCACAGTTCACGAGAAATTTCCGAGCTCGCACTCGCGGGTTGGTTGGCGACACTCGCATGCTGGGATCGCACCCAATTCGGGTGGCGCGACTTGATGGTCGGTGGCATTATGCGACTATCTTGATTGGTCACAATGTTTTTTTGCGCTTTTTTAGCGAAGTCAACAGCAGATGTATACCGTACAGACGGAGTACATCGTGTCCGATCTTATCGAATTCCGGACCTTGGAGTATTACGTGGAGTGAAATGTCGTGGACCTAATGGCATACCCCTTGTACTATGCGTTTGCGGTAAGGTCGTGTCAGGAGGGTTTCCCCAATGCGTAAAACCCTGGCTTTCACGAGTCGCGCAGTGCGCTTCCGTACAGCATTCGGGAACGACGTTGGATCGGAGCGACCCGACCCGAGGCCAGGTCGAGGACTAAGGACTACGACATCCTTTTGTACCGTTCTGAAACAAAAGGCGCCCCGTTGCAAAGCTCAATGACGTGTCGGAATGTTTTCATTCGCTACACCTTTTACGGGAGATTTCTGTTGCTTCCAAAATATCTGACCAATGTCAACACCTCCTCAAAGTTCAGGGCGTTCCTATGCCGAAGTTGAGACTTCTGAAAACACTAAGTTGCAGTGCACAGAACCAAAGTTGCGGGTCATATAGTTCTGGACAAAGTTGCAGCGCACAGAACCAAGAGCAACTTTGTGTACCAAGTTTCACCACAACCGAATTCAAAATACCGAATTCAAAATGAGCCCTTTCGAAGGGCACCCCTAGCCCGGTCATTTCTCACTCCAAGGCAAGCGAGGCAGTTGCCACCTTCCAAGTTCCAACCGCCAAAACACAACAGCACGGCACGTATCCCTGAAGAAATGTTCGCTCCAGCAGCGAGGTTGCGAAGGTGACATAGCGCGTCAACATTCCCAAAGCAGATGTCACAAGAGGAATAACTAGCGACTGCTGTTCTTTCTCATTCCCAGCTTCTTTTTTCACATGTTCTCTTCGCCGTTTCGCGTAATATACGCCTAGTAAATTGTATTACAGTACTTTTCTCAGTTTCTCTCGAGGCGCAGTGATACATTCTGGTTCTCTCCCCGTCGCTTTCTGTTGCTCAGGGCATTCGTTCAGGGGCCTTTTCTCGGGGTGAGTGCTCCGCGTGCGCATTACTAGTGTGGTGACCGCCGCAAATCAAGGGTGCATAGGGTGACGCGCCACGGTCTCAGTATATTTTCTGACGCCGCGTAGAGAATGCTGTCATTTATTGTGGATCTGATCCCGTCGCAGCATTGAATACTTTCGACTAAAGCACGCGCTGACACCTTCTTTATGATACATATTAGCACCAAGAGTCGAACTTCGCAATGATCGTCTTTCGGGTCGAACTCCGCAATGATCGTCATTCGGGTCGAACTTCGCAATCATTCGGTTCCCGTAGTACCAACCTTTAGAAGTAAAGAGTTGGACTCTTCATCTTCTAACCTACATGATATTTTGCATGCTTCGTATAGCCTAGTATCAGACTTACTACTTTTGTAGCTTATGTCTTGCTTTTTTAACTCCCTTCCCCCCTCTTCCTTCCCTCCCTCCCTCCCTCCCCCCCGTCAATGGCGGTCTCGTCGTTATTCGTGACTGTGCGCTCTTCGTGCTCCAGCCAAGCGACCCTTCCGCGCAACGCGCGTTTCCCCATCATGGCCGCGGATCCCGACACCGAGCGCGGCGGGTCGCCGCCGGTTCCCGCGCCTCCTCCCGCGGCCGCGGAGAGCGCGGCGGCGGAATCTGCGACGTCTGCGGCGCTTCCGCCGGTGCAGGATACGGCGCAGCAGGCTGTGGGGGATGCGGTAGTCACGGTGGCGGTAGCGGACGAGAGCTCCCCGCTCCTGGGAGGGGGAGCGCAGGAGAACGCGGGGGAGACGGACGGCTCCGGCCAGGGGGGAGGGGGGGTGAAGGGGGAAGCGGGGGAAGGAGGAGCGGAACCGGTTATAGAGAAGGGGAAAGGGGAAGAGGGGGAGGCGGAGAATGCGGGAGAGGAAGGTCGAGAGCAGCCTGCTACTGAGGAAGTGGGGGAAGGAGGAGCGGGGAGGGGCGAGGATACAAAGCTGGTGCCGCTACTAGCGGAAAGGGAAGATCCTTCAAAGGAAATGGTGACGAAGGTTGAGGAGGAGAGGGCGGAGAAGGAGAAGGGGGAGAAGGGGGAGAAGGAGGAGAAGAAGGAGGGAGCTGGGGGGACGGTGGCGTACTGGCAGCTGTTCCGGTACGCGGACAAGTGGGACGTTCTCCTCATGGTGGTGGGGTCGGTGGGCGCCATTGGGCAGGGCATCGCGCTGCCCATGATGGCGCTGCTGTTCGGCGACATGATGAACGCCTTCGGGCAGAACGCGGGCGGCATGGACGCCATGCTCGACCAGGTCGCCAAGGTGCGCCCGCCTTTCCCACGCAAGAAACCCGCACGGCGTGCCCTCGCATGGCATACCCTCGCATGGCGTGCCCTCGCATGGCATACCGTCGCATGGCATACCCTCGCATGGCAGACCGTCGCATGGCATTCCCTCGCATCCTGTTTCGCCCTCCCACCATGGCGTTGCTCCATGCATGCCGCCCCTTTGTTCGCCCTCCTACCCGCCACTCCCTCCAACCTCCCCTCACAACCTGCCAACCTCGATGCTCCCCTTCCCCCCTGATCTCTCGCATCCCCAAACCCGCCCCCTTTTCCGGCCCTTACCCCCCCCAGGCGTCGCTCAACTTCGTTTACCTGGCCATTGCGGCTGGTGCCACGGCATACTTAGGTGGGGGCGAGGGGGAATGCTGGGGAATGGAATGAGCGGGGAAGGTGGCACCTGGAGGGAGATAAGGGTGGGCTTTGAGGGGGGGCTTCGCTTTCTCCTTTTCACACAGTCGCACACGCACGCACGCATGCACGCACAACCCCGCACGCTTTCCTCGCTTCCCACCCGTTCTAAACCCCTCTCTCCCACCATTTCCCCCATCCTCCCTTTCCTTCCTCCCCTTCTGTTCCCCCTTCCACCCCAACGCCTCCCCTTCCCCCTCCCCCCCCTCAGAGACGGCATGTTGGATGAGCACGGGCGAGCGGCAGGCGGCGCGCCTGCGGTCGCTGTACCTGGCGGCGGTGCTGCGGCAGGACGTGGGGTTCTTCGACACGAGCCTCAGCACGGGCGAGGTGGTGGGGCACATGTCGGGCGACATCGTGCTCGTGCAGGACGCCATGGGGGAGAAGGTCAGTGCAGGACGCCATGGGCGAGAAGGTCAGTGCAGGACGCCATGGGGGAGAAGGTCAATGCAGGACGCCATGGGAGAGAAGGTGAGATTGGTGAGGGTGAGGTGGGGAGAAGATTTGGGGGGGAGATTTCGGGGGGAGATTTCGGGGGGGGGGGGGAGGAAGTGGGGGGGGCGAGAAGGTGAGTGCAGGACGCCATGGGCGAGAAGGTCAGTGCAGGACGCCATGGGCGAGAAGGTGAGTGCAGGACGCCATGGGGGAGAAGGTGATTCACGTGTGGGGGGAGGGGCTAGGAGGAGCGAGGGGGAATGGAGGGGGTTGTGGGAAATGGGGGCAGGGCTGCTATGGAGTGATCTGAGGTGTTGTCACACATGGTGGGGACATCGTGCTCGTGCAGGAGGCCAAAGAGAAAGAGGTGATATTGCGAGGGGGGGGAGGCGGAAGGGAGGTGGAATGGGGGGAAGGGGGATGGGGAGGGGGAGGGAGGGCGAGAAGGTGAGGTGGGGGGGATGGGGGGAAAGCAGGGGGGTTGCTGGATTCACAAGGCTTCAGGGAGTAGGTGAGGAGGGAATAAGGGGAGGTGGAATGGCTTGAGACGGCAGCAATGGTGTCGTCTGGCGATTGTGGGGGTGGCAAGTATGGGGGGGCCATGGGGGGGCTATGAGGGTCCTACCCTCCCCCCTCCCATCACCCACCCTTTCGAACCTTCTCAAACCGAGTCCTTCTCCCTCATTTCTCCACTTCCCTCCCCCCAGGTGGGCACGTGCATGCGGTTTTTGGCGCAGTTCCTGGGCGGCTTCGTGGTGGCGTTCATCTCGGGCTGGCAGCTGGCGCTGGTGATGCTGGCCACGCTGCCGCTGCTGGCGGTGGCGGGGGGGGTGATCACGGTGGTGGTGCAGCAGTCCACCAGCAAGGGGCAGCAGGCGTACACGGCTGCAGGCACCATCGTGGAGGAGTGTGTGGGGGCCATCCGCACGGTGAGTGCATGCTGACACCGTTACCAGGGTGTTACTAGGGTGGGGCCCATCCCAGTGAGATGCTGTCGAATCTGATGCTGACCTTTCTTTGCACCGCTGTATGGTTCTAATTGTGTCTTCGCATCTTTTTGCCCTTGTGGAGTCCTGTCAGTCAACACCTCATCCGACATTGTGTTCTGCCTTCCCTCAAATCCCATGGGGTGGGAGAATTCCAAAGTCGTTAGGGCGCTGCTGAGCATGGTTTTAAGGGGTGTGACTATTAAAAAACGGCTGTAGGTTGGCCAAGGGAGGCCTGAATCCCGATTACACGTGCCACAAACTGGGAGTTGCTCAGCTCAGCTCATGCCGAGGCGACTTGGCTCGGCTCGAATGGCGGGCGAGCCTACTCTGGCTCGAGTCAAGCCAACCGTGGTTCGCCCCTTGCTCTCATGCGTATCCCATCCCATCCCATCCCATCCAATCCCATCCCATCCCATCCCATCCCATGCCATGCCATTCCATCCCATGGTGTCTATCCATCTGTGCGTCTATCTGTCCCTCATCATGTGCGCCCATCTGATCCCCCCCCTATCCCAGGTGGCAGCCTTCACGGCGGAGCGCAAGTCGGTCCAAGCTTACGCCGCCCACCTGCACGCAGCATTCAAGGAGGGCGTGAAGCAGGGCCTGGCGGCGGGCTTTGGCTTCGGGCTGACCATCTGCGTCATGTTCTGCTCGTACGCGCTCGCGCTGTGGTACGGCTCCAAGCTCATCGCCGACAGCGACTACTCGGGAGGAAAGGTCTTCTCCGTGCTGTTTGGAGTCATCATCGGCGGCATGTGAGTGGTGGGCTTGTGGGTGAATGCTTTGTGTTCTGGATGCCCGAGTTTACTAGTCGGGAGGAAAGGTGTGCGCCGTGCCTGATCCTTTCCCACTCCCGCACTCCCACAACCACTCTTGCTTCTCCACCACTCCCACAACCACTCTTGCTTCTCCACCACTCCCACAACCACTCTTGCTTCTCCACCACTCCCACAATCCCTCTTGCTTCTCCACCACTCCCACAACCCCTCTTGCTTCTCCACCACTCCCACAACCCCTCTTGCTTCTCCACCACTCCCACAACCACTCTTGCTTCTCCACCACTCCCACAACCACTCTTGCTTCTCCACCACTCCCACAACCACTCTTGCTTCTCCACCACTCCCACAACCACTCTTGCTTCTCCACCACTCCCACAACCACTCTTGCTTCTCCACCACTCCCACAACCACTCTTGCTTCTCCACCACTCCCACAACCACTCTTGCTTCTCCACCACTCCCACAACCACTCTTGCTTCTCCACCACTCCCACAACCACTCTTGCTTCTCCACCACTCCCACAACCCCTCTTGCTTCTCCACCACTCCCACAACCACTCTTGCTTCTCCACCACTCCCACAACCACTCTTGCTTCTCCACCACTCCCACAACCACTCTTGCTTCTCCACCACTCCCACAACCACTCTTGCTTCTCCACCACTCCCACAACCACTCTTGCTTCTCCACCACTCCCACAACCACTCTTGCTTCTCCACCACTCCCACAACCACTCTTGCTTCTCCACCACTCCCACAACCACTCTTGCTTCTCCACCACTCCCACAACCCCTCTTGCTTCTCCACCACTCCCACAACCACTCTTGCTTCTCCACCACTCCCACAACCACTCTTGCTTCTCCACCACTCCCACAACCACTCTTGCTTCTCCACCACTCCCACAACCACTCTTGCTTCTCCACCACTCCCACAACCACTCTTGCTTCTCCACCACTCCCACAACCACTCTTGCTTCTCCACCACTCCCACAACCACTCTTGCTTCTCCACCACTCCCACAACCACTCTTGCTTCTCCACCACTCCCACAACCACTCTTGCTTCTCCACCACTCCCACAACCACTCTTGCTTCTCCACCACTCCCACAACCACTCTTGCTTCTCCACCACTCCCACAACCACTCTTGCTTCTCCACCACTCCCACAACCACTCTTGCTTCTCCACCACTCCCACAACCACTCTTGCTTCTCCACCACTACCACAACCACTCTTGCTTCTCCACCACTCCCACAACCACTCTTGCTTCTCCACCACTCCCACAACCACTCTTGCTTCTCTCACCCATTTTCCACCCCAGGTCCCTTGGCCAGGCGTCTCCCTCCTTCGCGGCCTTTGCCTCGGGGCAAGCCGCGGCCTTCAAGATCTTCCAGGTCATCCAGCGCATCCCCCCTATCGACAGCTCCAACCCCGCCGGCGAAACGCCCCCCGACTCCGAAGTCAAGGGCGAACTGGAGCTCCAAGAGGTGGTCTTTGCGTACCCGTCGCGCCCCGAGGTGACCATATTTAACGGGTTCTCGCTGAGGATCCGGGCGGGGGAGACGGTGGCGCTGGTGGGGGAGAGCGGCAGCGGCAAGTCGACGGTGGTGGCGCTGGTGGAGCGCTTCTACGACCCGCAGAGTGGAGCCGTGCTGCTGGACGGCCGCAGCATCGCCGCGCTCAACCTGCGCTGGCTGCGCCGCCACATGGGGCTCGTCAGCCAGGAGCCCGCGCTCTTCAACGTGTCGATAAGGGATAATATCGCGTATGGGAAGGGTGGAGAGGCGTGGGGGGAGGGAGGGGGAGAGGGGAAGGGGAGTTCAGTTAGCGACGAGGAGGTGAAGCAGGCGGCGCGGGCAGCTAATATCCATGAGTTTATCGAGTCGCTTTCTGATGTAAGTTACCTCACCGGGCGTTCTGCCGTCTCTTGCGTTGACTCAAAGGTAATTTCTTCCCACTCCCGACTGCATTCCTTCTGCCACCTCTCCGTGCCAACCTACCTTCCACCTCCCTCCTCCACTGCTGTTCCGCCTTCCCGCCAATTCTCTGAATAAACGCACCAGCTCACCCTTCCTCACTGGAGACCCAAAACCCCAATCCCCTTCCGAAAGAGCTTCTGTTTCTCGTGTTTGCCTGTGGCAGGGCTACAACACCCTGGTGGGGGAGCGCGGCGCGCAGCTGTCGGGCGGGCAGAAGCAGCGTGTGGCGATCGCGCGCGCGATCCTCAAGGACCCGCGAGTGCTGCTTTTGGACGAGGCCACGTCAGCGCTGGACGCGGAGAGCGAGAAGGTGGTGCAGGCGGCGCTGGAAAAGGTCATGGTGGGCCGCACCACCGTGGTGGTGGCGCACCGCCTCTCCACCGTGCGCGCGGCGGACAGGATCGCCGTGCTCAGCCGTGGCAAGATGGTGCAGCAGGGCACACACGAGCAGCTCATGGCGGAGGAAGGGGGTGTGTATCTCCAGCTGGTGCGCCTGCAGGAGATGGCGGGGAGCAGCAGGGGGGGTGGGGAGGCTGGGAGTGACGGGGAGAGTGGGAAAGAGGGTGGTGCGGTGACGGTGGGAAGCAGGTTGGGTGGGGTAACAACAGGTGTAGGGGGTAAGGGGGCAGAGGAGACGAGCAGTGGGGAGGTGGGGAAGGAGGTGAAGGGAGAGAGCTCTGAGGACAGCAGCAGCAGTGATGAGGAGCAGGAGGATGAGGAGGAAGGGGTAGCTGAGGAGGTTGGACGTGAGAAAGCCACAGAGGGAACAGAGGAGGGGACAGCGGAAGAAGGAAAGAGAGGAACGGGGAAGAATGCCAAGGGGAAGGAGAAGAAGGACAAAACGAAGAAGAAGAAGCGGTCCCCGTTCCTCCGTCTGGCCATGCTGAACAAGCCCGAGTGGCCGTATGCGCTGTCAGGCACGGTGGCGGCAGCGATTCAAGGCGTCATCCTGCCTCTCTTCGCCCTCTGCCTCGCCCGCATTATCACTGTCTTCTATAACCCAGGTGATTGCCATTCTGAACGCCGGATCCCCTGGCAGATGAGGCCAAGTTGTGGTGTGTGCACTTGTCTCTCGCGTTTGTGGTCATGGTGGTGGCGGAATAAGTGTGGGTTGTATGATTGATGCGTATCTTGAGGTGTGTTTTGAGTCGACTAAGATATATGCCTGGTGTGTGCACTGGTCCCTCACGTTTGTGTGGTCCTGGCAGTGGTGGCGCGCGTGTGGTTGTGGGTGTGGGTGTGGGTGTGGTTGTGGTTGTGGTTCTGGGTGTGGGTGTGGGTGTGGCCTCAGGGGCTCCTTGGAAACCAAAGCACCTTTCTCCCCTCCCTTCCCTGCCGCTCCTTCCCATCGCCCTCTCGCCCCTCCCCGTCCCTTCCGTTGTTTAAGAACAGGCTTTTGATGAAAAAAAAGGTTAAGCTGTAGGTCCAAATTTCAGTTCAGAAAGCTCGTGTTTCTTTGAAATGCAGATGGCAAAATGAAGTGGGCATAAGGACATCACAAAGCACCCCTCCCCGTTCCTCCCCCGTTCTCTCTCCCGGCCACCAGACAAGGCTAAGATGCGGCAGGACGCGGACTTCTGGTCGCTCATGTTTGTGATCATAGCCGTGGTGGCGTGGGTGTCGCGCACGCTGCAGACGTTCCTCTTCAGCGTCGCGGGGCAGCGCCTCATCCGCCGCATCCGCCGCCTGTGCTTCCACTCCGTGCTCCGCCAGGAGATGGCCTGGTTCGACCGGGATGAGAACTCGAGGTGAGGGGAGGAGAACTCGAGGTGAGGGGAGGAGAACTCGAGGTGAGGGGAGGAGAACTCGAGGTGAGGGGAGGAGAACTCGAGGTGAGGGGAGGAGAACTCGAGGTGAGGGGAGGAGAACTCGAGTTGAGGGGAGGAAAACTCGAGGTGAGGGGAGGAGACGTCCATTGACTGCTGTTGCAGGGGACAAGGGGTTTGACAGGACAAGAACTCCCAATGAGGGGAGGTGGCATGAGGGTTTCAGGTTTGGCCTGGGAGAGGAGAACTCGCAGTGAGGGGAGGAGATGCAAGGTGGCGGCGACCTCTTTCCAGATGCCATGCACGTGCACTCCATAGTGGGCGCCCGCCTCTTCACTGTCTCCTGCTCAATGCCCCTTCACACACTCCCCCCTTCCCTACTCTCCCCTCCCCCCCCCTCCCCTTCCATCCCCTCCCATCCCATCCCCTCCCCTCCCCTCCCCTCCTCTCCCCTTCCCTCCCCTCCCATCCCCCCCTCTCCCAGTGGTGCCATCGGCTCTCGGCTCTCCTCAGACGCCACGCACGTGCACTCCATAGTGGGCGACCGCCTGTCCTTGGCGGTGCAGAACGTAGCAACGCTCATAGCGGGGCTCATCATCGCCTTCTCCTCCTCGTGGCTGCTCTCCTTCATCGTCCTCGCCCAGCTGCCACTCATCGCTGCTGGCTCCCTGTTTCAGATGAGGAGCCTGCAGGGGTTTGCTTCCGATGCCAAGGTGGGTTCTGAGGAGGGGAGGGAGGGATTGGGGGGAGGGATTACGGGACGAAAGGAGAGGAATGGAGAGAAGAGAGATGAGACGATGATGACCAGCACGTTGGGTGATTCCGAGATGTGTTGGCACGTGTGTTTCCGAACCGGTGCCCACCGCTGCCCCCATGGTATCCCCTCTCCCAGCAAGCATACGAGGTGGCGGTGCGCATTGCATCGGACACGGTGAGTGCAATGTGCTGCTCACGGCAAATCCTGAAGCATCTCACACCGTAGATTGCTAACCTGTGCACTCTTTTGTCCCCATCCCGTGCAAGCGTACGAGGCGGCGGCACGCATAGCGTCGGAGGCGGTGGGGGCGATGCGCACGGCGACTCTCAAAGGCTGGCACACCTTTTGAAGGCCCCTCTCCCCTTCCCGTGCCTCTCGCTCCCTGGTACCTGTTCCCCTCCCAGCAAGCGTATGAGGTGGCGACACGCATTGCATCGGACGCGGTGGGGGCGATGCGCACGGTGGCATCGTTTGGAGCAGAGGGGCACGTTATGGCGCTGTACTGCGCCGCCGCTTCCACGCCCGTCAAGGCGGGGCTGAAAAAGGCGCAGGTGGGTGAGAGGGGGTGAGGGAGGAGGACCGGAAGAAGGGGGGAGAGAGGGGGGGGGGGGGGGGTGATAGCGCTGGCTGGTGCGAGTGGTCACCGCAGTCACGGCCAGGCTGCTCAACGCCCAGGGTAAGGTGTAGGGAACTTTCTCTGTCTGCCACACGCCTCATGAGCCGTCTCTCATCTCCCTTCTCTCCGCCCCCGCTCCCCCCCCCCAACACCTCTCTCTCTCTCTCGCCCTCACTCGCAGGTCAGCGGGGCGGGGTTTGCCTTTGGGCAGTTCTGTCTGTTTGCCGTCTATGCCTTCTCCTTCTGGTGCGGGGGGCAGCTCGTCAAGATTGGCCAGGCTGACTTCCAGTCCGTCTTTCAGGTGCGCCCAGGGCGGCTTTAAGGTGTGTAGCAGGCCTCAGGTGGGCTTTCAGGTGTTTGTAGCCTTTCTGTGACAGTTGCTGCTGTCATTGCTTGTTCTTCTCAGATTCTATCTCCTGGTTTAAAGCACCTCAAAGCCTTCCCGTCTGGGTTCAATCTGCTATATGTGATAGCCGCTGCGTGTCTTTGCTCTTCTCAGCGAGCGTCTATCACTTTATCGCCCCATGCCTGTTCCTCCTCTCTGTTGGTCTTTGCATCACCGCTTCCCAACTGTGTTTTTTGTCACATCAACCGCTCTCCCCGCTCTCCCCTCTTTCCCCGCTTTCCCCACTCTCCACTCTCCCCGCTCTCCCCGCTTTTCCTGCTCTCCCCGCTCTCTCCGCTCTCCTCCTTCGTGGTGGTCCTCACTGCCATTGGGAGGTGCACAGACCGCCAACCAAGCAACCCCACCCACACCCTTGCATCCCTTTCTCACAGCCATGGGAGTGGCTCAGACGGCCATTCTAGCCCCCGACATGGCAATGGCACAGGCGTCAGTGAAGTCCATCTTCAAGCTGCTGGACCCCGCTCGTGCATCGACCCAAAAGCAACACTGTCACGCACTTACTTCTCTGGCCCCTCTTCTCACTCCCCCTTCCCCCTTTCATCCTCATTCCCTTTCCCTCCCCTCTATCCCTTTCCTCCCGTCTCGAACATCCCCCCAGTCGTTCTTCGCAGTGGTCTTCACAGCCATGGGCGTGGCTCAAACCGCCACCCTGGCGCCTGACATGGCAACGGCACAAGCAGCAGTGAAGTCCATCTTCAAGCTGCTGGACCGCCGCTCGCGCATCGACCCAGAGGCGCCGGGGGAGAAGCCGGAGGAAGGCGTGGAGGGGGAAGTGCGGCTTGAGGGAGTGGTGTTTGCGTACCCGTCCCGCCCGCACCTCACCATTCTACAGGATTTCACACTCACCATTCCGGCCGGCAAGGTGGGTGGGTGTGTGGCTGTGCGTGTGCACACAGGTGAGTTGGGGGGAAGGGGAAGGGGGAGGGGAGGGGAAGGGGACGCGGAGGGGGAGGGTGTTCGTGCGCACAGTGTATGTGAATATGCATTACATGTATGTGTTCAAGTGTCAGTATCTTGCCAGCATCACATGGAAGGTATTAGAGTGTAGGAGGTGTTTGTAGGGGTTGCAAGGGCATGCTGCGCTTGCACACCCTGCGCTTGCACACCCTGCGCTTGCATTGTTGCAGCTTGCTGCTTGCACAACTCTCACAGCTGCACTTTATCTTCACACAGTGCTACTTTTCCAGGCTCCTACTTCAGTCATTAACTCTAATTCCTTCCAAGCTGTGCTGTCTGCTCGCGGATAATGAACGTGCCGAGGCTTGCCCCTACAGCACCACTCTACCACACCCTCGGGCCCCTTTTGCCAATGCTCATGTCTTTTCAAGTGATCTGTCTCTGCGTGCATGCGGGGGCGCTGGTGGTGGCACTGCTGGTGGTTGTGGCGGTGGCGAGTTGCTTCGCAATCCCTGACCTGTCCCTCTCCTCTCACTCCCTCTCGCGTCTCGGTCCTCTTCATGTCTCCTGTCATTTCGCTTTCCTAATCTTGTTTACCAGACCGTTGCGCTGGTGGGGGAGAGCGGCAGCGGCAAGTCGACAGTGGTGGCGCTGGTGGAGCGCTTCTACGACCCGCAGAGCGGAGCCGTGCTGCTGGACGGCCGCAGCATCGCCGCGCTCAACCTGCGCTGGCTGCGCCGCCACATGGGGCTCGTCAGCCAGGAGCCCGCGCTCTTCAACATCCCCATCCGCGACAACATTGCATACGGCCGCGCTGCCACTTATGTTCCCAGCGGTGGTGGTGGTGGTGCTGATGGTGTTGATGCTGATGGTCTTCCCATCGGCGGCCAGAAGAAGGGCTTCTGGCACTTTGGAGACAGCAGGGGCAGCCGTGATTTCAAGAGGAGCCGCGACTTCAGGATGAGTAGGGAGAGTGCCGGAAGTGGCGCTGATGGGGGAGAGGAAGAAGAGCTAGAGGCAGTGACTGAGACGGAGATAGTTGAGGCTGCTAAGGCCGCCAATGCACATGGCTTCATCTCTTCACTTCCTGATGGGTATGACACGCTGGTGGGGGAGCGCGGCACGCAGCTAAGTGGCGGGCAGAAGCAGCGCGTCGCGATCGCACGCGCGGTCCTCAAGGACCCGCGTGTGCTGCTATTAGACGAGGCCACGTCAGCACTGGACGCGGAGAGTGAGAAGGTGGTGCAGGCGGCGCTGGAACGCGTGATGGTGGGCCGCACCACCGTGGTTGTCGCTCACCGCCTCTCCACCGTGCGTGGGGCGGACTGCATTGTGGTGATGCAGAAGGGGCGCGTGGTGGAGCAGGGCACCCATGATGAGCTGCTCATGAAGAAAGGCGCGTATCACTTATTGGTCTCTGCTCAGCGTTAGTGAAGTTAGCGACTGGTGAGTGGTAGTCCTAGACAGGCCCTACGATTGGTTTTCGGGCACGCTGATTTATCATCATAGCCCCATGGACTTGAGTAAAAGATTTTGTCAGCCTTTAGTATAAGATTTTGTCTGAAAATTACAGCCTTGGTGTGAAAATAAACGCTGAAGCAAGAATGGTGGATGGATCATTACACACCTCTACATCGGTGTCCCTCTACCTCCTCCCCCCAATGCATGGGACCGGAAGGGGGGGAGAGGGGAAACGAAACGGAGGGGAGGGGGGCCCCGAAATGGAGGGGAGGGGGGAATCAAAAGGGAAGGGAGGGGTGTCAACTTATATATATTATTTATATATAAATGAGTAGGCTTAGTAGGTTAAGTGTGCTGCAATACTGGATCCTACTGTAAAGGGTACAATACCATTTTTGTATCCCTCTCTCTTCTAGTCCAACCCTCTTTTCTCTCATCAACTTTTCTCCGTAACTAAAACCTCGACATTTCTCATGCCTTGCTAGCTTCTAGGCTTAGCTTCTTTCAACATGGTATCAGAGCACGAAGATCCTGCTGTGCCTTGTCATCACGCTTCCGCAGCGTACTCTTTCCCCTCCCGTCACATTCGCGCCGCCATGGTGGCCTCGCCGCGCTGCCGCTGCGACCTCGTCGAGGAGCCGTAGCGGCCTCTCTGCGCTGCCGCGGCGGCCTCGTCGAGCAGTCATGGCGGCCTCGTCGCATTGCCGCGGTGACTTCGACGCGCTGCCATGGTGGCCACGTCCTGCTGCCGCGGCGTCGTCGTGCTGCCGCGGCGCCTTCGATGCGCCAGCGCACGGATAGCCACGACCAACGCACGTTTTGAGCGCCAGCCAGCTCGCCCGCACCAAGGCCTACTTTTGGATTTTTACTACTCTGATATTGAGGAGTGGCATTTCGCATTACTCTGAAAATCAGAGTGCACCCTCACACTTCCTCTGATTTGTCAGGGTTTTTTACTATTTTGAAAAAAATACATTGGTAGTGCAGAGGAGAAATCTCCACAACTCTGTGCTGCTGTAGTGCACCCCAACAAACACATGGTTAAGTGGATTTTATGGTTGGTCCGATAGACGCACGTTTCATTTCAAATACGCATACATACATTACTCATCATGCTCATCCTCCTCTTCCTCTGAGGCACTCTCACCAGAGCCACTCTCCTCCTCTGACTCATCAGACTCATTATGCTCCCTGCCCTTGGCAGCATCGCTGCTCCTCTCATAAGCCACTACTTTTGCATGTCTGCGGTTCTTCTGGCGCCTCCAGATTTCCACGATCTCAGGGTAGTTCATGTCGTACTCCAGGAGGCTAATGGTCATCAAGTCGCCGAGTCTTGCATCACACAGGCTCGTCCTCAGCCAGCTCTTGACGGCGTTCTGCCTGCTGAAACCGCGCTCGCACTCGACAGTGCACAAGGGCAGCACCGCCATCGCCTGCCAGATCCTCATGAGATTCGGATAGCTCTTGGCCCAGTCCCTCATCTTCAGCATGTTGGCGAGGCCTTGGCCAAAGTCGTCATCAGCATGGTGCGTCTTCATGATGTGACAGAAAGTCTTCAACTCCAGCTCAGCTGCTCGACCATCCACTCCTGTGGAAGGGCTCGGGCGGGATTCGAGACATGGAATGAGAACACAACACATCGATTAAGTACCATGGTGGTGTTGCCACCGTTTTATAAAACATGGATACTTGTATCTTCATATAACGAGACGACATTGTGGGTGCTAGGGATACGTGCATGGACGGATCGACACCATACATACCAGGAAGCTTGTTGTCAAACAGCTCCACGTTCGACTTGACCCAAGTGCGCGCTCTTCGTTCCCGCACTTCCTGCTTCTTCGGCCATGTGTCCACCTTGTACAACTTCGAGCCGGCCATCCGCTTTAGGTCCCACATCCTCTGGTTCAGGTTATGTATGGTGTCTTCAGCGAAGGCAGTGCACAGCGTGATGCAGGCCGCCTTGGTGCCACCATACTTGTGGCCGGGCAGGGAGCTCTCCACGAGCTTGAAACTGTGGGAAACCGGGCGCCCGTTGTCATCCGCGCCATGCACCAGCACCTTGCCGGCATTCTCGTCATAACTCTGCAGAAAATTGTAATACCGCTTGCTCAGCCCCGCGCCAGAGGTCTCGCCATATTCCACGTAGCGATGCTTGATGTACGTGATGGTGCGGTCGACCTCCTGCGAGACAAGGGTGATGTCGACTTGATGTGAGGTTGGGGCAATAAAAGCAGCGGCAAGATGCGGAGAATAGAAGTTATTGTCGAAATTGAAGAAAGTCCACAATCCAACACGACAATAGGCCACCGGCGGCATGAAACACAAAGACCAAGGGGATATGGGATAAAAACATACCGGCCACTTCTGGAAGAACCTGTTGAGCGTGTTGAGCTCAGTGAGGATGTCAGCCGGAAAGTACAGACAGAAGTGGAACTTGAGCGCTTTGACCACTGGAACCAGCTTGTGGTTGTACTCGATGAGCAGAGCGATCACAGCGCCGAGGATCCTGCAGAGTCGTTTTACGGCATCTCCACGCAAAAGCCACCGGATGTTGAAGAGCCCCTGGTGCTCCTGGTTCGTGTTGTGGAGGATCAGTTGGAGCTCCTTGAACCTCTCGTACCACGGTGTTGAACGCCCAACGATCTCGCCGAAGCCATGAATGACGATGTCGATGATCCAGAGGCCGGGGAAGGCGCTAGCCGCATCATTCACTGCAAGGGCCTCACTGCGAGTTGCGAAGAAACGTGCAAAGTCGGGCAATTAGCACGGATAACAAATAGTCTGACATGCGGTACATGCGAGGAAATGGACTCGAAACGTCGTGGCTGCAAGGGGGAAGACAAGCGCGGCTCGACCTACGTGAACTCACCAATGTGCAATACAGTGGCAGCCAAAGAGATGCGGAATGCGCACCCGAAGACGCGCTACCAGACCATTGTGCTCTCCCGTCATGACAGACGCCCCATCCGTGCTGATGCCCGCCACCTTGTGAAGTTCGATGCCACAAGACTCCAGGTGCCCGAGTAATGCCATCTGCAGAGCTGTCACGTCGCACTTGTCGAGAGTAAGCAGCGTCAGGAACTCTGTGACGACTCGCCGCTTCTTCAGGAACGTCGCGAAGATGATGAGATGTTTGCCACGCGTTCTGTCAGTTGACTCGTTGCAGCTCAATCCGATGAAGGGTGATGCGTGGATATGCTGCATCTACTGTGCTTTCAAGTACGCCACCATTGCGCGCACTATTTCCTTAAAGCCATATCTGCACTTGGAAAGGGCATGGATAAGCCAGAATCAGCTCAATGATTGATACGACAGCAGAGCAGTCGCAATTTCACCAAGAATGAGTACGAAACACCATGAGCCACCCCGGTACTTACTGCGTGATGTAGGCGCCATAAGTCTGTCTTGGAATTTCCTTGACACCCTCTTCTATCATGAACCCAACGAGTCACGTGAACATGGCGATCGGGGCATCCTCCTTGCATATGAACAGCATAGTTCGAAGTAGACGAATGATCCTCGCGCCGTCAGGGTCGTGCTTCGCGAAGTCCTCCATTTTCTTCTGATTCTCGACCTCCTTCACTAGCGCCTCTTGCTTCTTGACTGCGTTCTCGTGCTTCGTGTTCTCCTCATGCAAACACATTGAGCCGATCTGGAGATCCCGTCCATCAGCACTGTTGTGCCCGTATCGTGCGTGGTCTTTGCCGTGCTCCATTCAGATACTGCAACGCAAACAAGGGGCACCATCGTTAGTCTTATCCAGCACTAGCCAGGGGAATTTCGGTAACCAGTGGGCAGTATACTTCCGTTGCACGGCAAGATAGGCCTTGGCCCTCTTCTCGGCGGGGGTTAAAGCAACCGATGGCACTTGCTGTGGCACGGGCTCTGGCTCTGGTGGTGACGGAGGCTGAGGGGGAGGCGGTGCGAACGGGAGATGAGTTTGGTTGAAGCAGCACTTCCTTTCCGAGGCAGACGCACGAGTTGAGGCTGGAGTTGATGCCGTTGATGTGGACGCTGGAGTTGATGCAGAGACAACAGGTACAGCTGAAGGTTCGGCGACAGGACCTTCAACATCAACCATAGCCTCTAAATTTCTCTCCCATTCCTCACTACTGAGAGAAGGCAGAGGCTGTGGCTCAACTGGAGTGGTAGCAACTCGACGGAGAAAGTTGAGCCCGCTAAGAGGGAGCAAACTAGGAGTTTGCAAAGGGAGAGACTTGTCACCACCACCATCGTCGGGCTCACCCGTGCCAGCCATGGCGGCAGTGGCATGAGTGACGACGGACGGCAGCGATGGCAAAGGTAAGCAGAGGTTTTCTTCTGCTAGGAAGGTGTGAGAGACATATTTGGTGTAGGGGAGGAAGGGAAGGTTGAACAAGACAAGGGTTTTGTCTGCTCTTCTTGGAGGGTGAGTGAATTGTGGGGCGTCTCAGAGTGGGTGAGGGAGTGAGGTCGGTCGTGCATGCATGGATGGTGGCTAAGATCGGCGTGCGGTGGTGAGGGAACCGCTGCCAACCTTGCAGTGATGCTGTAGTGCTGACTGATCAGCGCGAAGGATGCTGCCAGCAGTGGCAAGGATGGCAGCATATGACGTGCCACTGCCTGGCGGTACGCGCAAAATGACGCGTTTGGCGGGATATTGGGGCATGGCCAGGTACGGGGTACAGGGGAAATCTACAGGTATACCCCCTATACACTAACCCTCAAAGGGGTACAAATGGTTACTCTGATATAATCAGAGTAAAATAAAACCTCATTTTTTTTACTCAGGGCACCTAGAGTAGTTTTCAAAAACGACTCTGATTTTCAGAAAAACAGAGTAAATTACTCTGATAAAATAGGCCCTGGCCCCCACGCCAGCCAGCGCCGCGCCAGCCACGGCGCCTCGCTGAAGAATCGCCCCCCTCCTTTGCATTCCCCCCTCCTCCCCACCGCAGCTGCTGGCGGTCTCGTGCCGTCCTCCCCCCCGTGGTCACAGTGTGTGCCACGCAACCGGGTGCCTCGGGCGCCGCCGCCGCCGGGTGCCTCGACGCTGCCGCCGCCACCGCAGGTGCTGCAGGCCCTGCTGCCATCGCCGCCGCAGTCACCAACGCCGCCGCTGACATCGCTGCCTCGATTGCCGAGGGGTTGACCCACTGGGAGACGCCACAGCTGC